TTCGGTCAGTAGTTAAATGGTCAGCGACAATGTCAGTCTATGAAGGCTTGACATTGAACCAGCTTTTAAGAACAGACGAGACTTCACGATGCTCAAATCAGTATTGAAAAACCCAGCTCCCGTAGCAAGGATTGCCGAGATAGTTTCTTCTCGTTTACCGGGAGTGCGGTGAAATGAACGCCATGCTTGGCGAATTCGGGCGGACTATCGCAAGGAGGGCGCCGCCGCACTGGACCACGGGAAAACCGAGGACGCCGAACCCCGTCAACGTGTTTAGACGAGAGGCAGCCGCGGGATCAGTTGGCCAGCAACCACTACGCTGGCGCCAACAACACCCACCCCTCACCGAAGTTGCCTCGGGGACAGGCGAGGGCATCGACATCAGCAGGCCCCACCCGGGCAGGCGTTCTGACCGGGCGGGCAATCCCGAGAGCCCGCCAAACGGTGGTGCGCCAAGGCATGGGTTCGGCGACAACGGATGCCTCAGGCCGGGATGCTGGTGCAGATAGACGGCAGTTTCCAACGGCTGGCTGGGCGAGGACCGGTCCATTAACCTGCTGTTGGCGGTGGACGACGCCACCAGCGCCGGGCCACACCCCCGCGGTGTTCTGTCCGGCGAGGACACTCGGGGATACTTATCCTGAGGCAGGGGATGATTCGACGTGGGGCGTTAACCACCGCCCTGTTACGCGACCGCCAACGCGTGTTCACGTTCTCCGGCAAAGCCCCAAGCACCCCCGTCAAGCCGCCGGTGGAAGCACCCACTTCAGCCGATGCCCTGGTGGAGCTGGGCATCCAGCAGATCTTCGCCCGATCGCACACAGGCCAAAGGCCGAGTGGAAACGTGCCGCCCGGCACTTTTCAGGACCACCCGGCTGGTGCGAAACTGCGTCTCGCGGGACAGCAACCATAGACCAGGCCAATGCCGTGTCAGGGACTTCCTGCCTCGCTATAACACAACGGTTTGCTGTCCGGCCGATCTGCCGGAGCCTGCCTACGACCGTGAACGGAAAGCGGCCCCTTGGACGAAATCCTCTGCTTCAGCGCAACCCGCAATGTGCCTCGGGGACAACACGGTCAGAGTTAGACCAGTGGCGCACCTGCAAACTGATTGCCCAGCAGGGAGCGTCACAGCTACGCGGTGTCCAGGTGGAAGGAAGTCCTCAAACACCGATGGCCGCCTCCAAGTACGCCAGGGGGTGAGATATCCCCGCCCGGAAAGCGCCGCCAAACGCCAGGTGCACTGCGCGCTTCCCACGGCGCTTCTGGCTCCCAACCAGAATACGGCCCCCCCCGCATCGTGAACGCCTGGGCAATCATCGCGTCAGGCCAACCCCAGCTGCACACCTGGCCACTGGGCCCGACCGTCGTCGAGGACCGGCGTCGAGAACCATCAAGTTGAACCTCCATCCGACGGGAATCACCCGGCGACAGTGGCCCTCTGAGAAGGCGGTGCAGCAGGCCAGGCCCAGGGTCTATCTCTGCGCGAAGATCTAACGTCAAATGGGGCGTTACACCGCAACACTGTCCGTAAGTACGCCCGTCCCTCCCCGACGACCAATCTCCCCATACCGCGGCAGATTCACCATGCGGAACAGCAACGGGTGCACCACCGTCACGTCAACGTCCTGCACTTCCAGTCGCCTGATTACGTTGTTGAACGTGTTCACCGCCCCGTTGACCTGCGGCTCCCACCGTCCATGCAGATGCTCCACTGTCGCGCTGCAATTTTCCACCCAGTCGCCGCAGTTCAGGTAGGCGATCTCGTCAATGCTACGCATGTCCGGTGAGTGAATGTGCCCGAAGATCGCCCATCCAATTCACGCATACCGACCTAACCCAGCCGAATGGATGCGGTCCCAAGGATCTACGACCACGTCGGCCATCGCCCGCAAGACCCGTCTGCCCACATCGCTCTCGACATTCTCACTTTATAACGACCTGAGCAATTCAATCCGGTTGTACAACTGACTGTCCGGTCTGCATTCAGCCATGCCCGCGTCGCCAAAACTCTGTGCCCTACCACCGACAAAAACAGCCGGCCCCATCGGAGGAGCCGGCTGCAAAAACCCCGGGGAAATTCTTATCGGGGCCGTGGACTCCCTATGCGCCATCCTCAGGCAACATCAGGTAATGGGGCTCGCCGAAAAGCACCTGCGTACGCAGCGCATCCGCGTCGGCCGGCTCGACGCCGGCGTAAGGATCTATACTGCCCCACGGCGTCGAGCGGGACGCGAACCGGAAATGCTCCGTCCTTCCGTCGCGGAACGTAACGTCCCAGACGATGTCCTGCCCTTCATAATGGGGTTGCACTTCCGCGCCCAGCGGCACGAAGTCCGCGTAGCCGCGAACGTGTATCGCATTCTCGGGGCACAGCTTGACGCAGGCGTAGCACTCGGAGCACATGTCCGGCTCCTGGTTGCTGCCCTTGTCCACCATCGCATCCAACACCATCAGGTCGTTGGGACAGATATAGACGCACTGCGGCCCGCCATGCACGCCAGCGCAAGCGTTACAGGCGGACGGATCGACATAGGTAGGCACTGATCACTCCTCTCTACAGGCGGAAAGGCCGCCCGGCGGCAAAAGTCTGCAGGAGATTGTAACATTATCCGCCAGCGTCGGGGTTTCAGGTCAGCCTGCCTGAATTGCGGCTTCCAACCGCACCGCCAAGGCATCAAAATCCTCCGGACATTTCCGCCGGATGGCGCCGATATTCCGCGACGCTTCATCGCCAAGCGTTTTGCGACCACCACCAGGAGCATCCGAGAGACCACGTTGGGCGACCAACGGCTCGAAATATTGCTCTTTCACCTGAATTTCGGCGCGGACGTTTTCCCACCTCCAACTGCCGGGAAGGTCCAGTCCGGCCAAAACCCAAGTTTCAAGTTCTTCCCAAGCGTTTTCGGATAGGAAGGCGGGACCGAATTCCCTTTCTACGTCGTCAAGTCTTTGCCGACGGCCGACTTGGCCATCGCGGTCTACGCATAGGATGAAGACATCGTGCATCCCTTTCTGCTCTGCGACAATTTGCGCCAGCCGTTCGGTTTTCAACGCTTCACCTACCCCACCAAGCAATGGGTCCGTGCAGATATTAACTTGTACGGTGGAGGAGCCGAGCCGTCGAAACAGTCTAAACCGAAGCCAAGGTGAAACCCGCACTTGGTTTGGATAGAATTGGAAGGAATTGAGAGGATCGGTTGGGAAGTTGCCGGGGGTTGCTGGTGGGTATGCTGGAGATGGGAGCGCTGCTGGAGCGGTGGCGCATGGATGAGGCTGCGGTACGACGACGGATGTACCGAGCGCCGACGCCTCGGGAGCGGGAACGGTGGCACGCGGTGTGGTTACTGGCGCGAGGCTGGACGGCCGCGGCCGCGGCCGCGGCGTTGGAACGGGACGCCCACACTATTGGCCAATGGGCCACGGCATTCCGGGAGGGTGGTCCTGAGGCGCTGGCTTTTGAGCAGTCAGGAGGTTCCCCCCCGCATTGAACCGGGAGCGGCAGGCCGAGTTGAAGGCGGCGGTGCAGGAATTGCCGTCGCAAGCTGGCATCGATTTGTCCAACTGGAACTGGAAGGCGGTGCGCCGGTTGGTAGAGGAACGCTTCGGGTTGACGCTGAGCCGGAGTGGTTGCCTGAATTACCTGCACCGGTTGGGCTTTGTCCTGAAGCGTCCCAAGAAGCGGTTGGTCAAGGCAGACCCGGTACGGCGGGAAGGCTTGGTGAGGGAGTACATTGCCTTGACAGCGGCGGCCCGACGAACTGGGGCCAAGATATTCTTCGCTGACGAGGCTCACTTTCGGGCGGATGCGGATCTGCGGGCCAAATGGGTGCTGAAGGGTCGAACCGGCGCTGGTGGACTCCACCAGCCCGCGACGTGGGGAGAAGGCGAGCTACTACTCGGCGGTGTGTCTGGAAACCGGAGAGGTGGAGTTGATGGAACTGGAAGGTAACAGCAACTCCACCACCTCGGTTGCCTTCCTGTCGGTTGCCTTCCTGCGTCAACTGCGGGCGCAACACACCGAACCGTTGACGGTGATTTGGGACAATTCCCCAGCTCATAGGGGCGACGCGCTGCGAGCCTACCTGGCCAAGCCCAACTTGAACCTGCGCTTGGTGAACCTGCCCACCTATAGCCCAGATTTCAACGCCGACGAGGCTATTTGGGGCTGGGTACGTCAAGAGGTGACCGCCAACCTGTGCCTGGGGACCCGTGCCGCAGTCCAGGAGAAGGTGGGCGACTTTTTCGCCAGCCTGTCCAGCTGATGCGACGAAGTCAAGCGCCGATGCCAGACCGTGCTTCAGGCTCGAGCAGCAGAACTGACTGCCAGCACTCAAGCCGACCCTTCCCATCCCGCGAATGTAGATTTCACCTTGGCTTCAGTTTACCCCCAATCCACCGAAGAGATGATTGTGGCGGTGTGCTGAAGGGATAAGAAAGTGCCCCGTTGCTTCTGGGATAATGGTTTGTGAAACACCAAACCGACCCAAAAGAAGGAGCACCAAATAGATGCTACCACGTAACGACCCCGACCGCATCCAGATCGCCTTCGACGACCACCGCCTGGTCAGCAATGCTGGGCTGATCCTTCCGTCCACCTTGGCACTGCATCTGGGCCTGCCCCAACTGGTTGATCGGCACCTGGACCTGGGCCGTGCCCCAGGCGGAGCCAACACGGGCGACCAGATCATGACGCTGGTGGCCTCCGCCCTGGCTGGGGGCGACTGCATTGACGATGCCGACGGGTTGCGTGCTGGCAGGACCGCGCGGGTGCTGGGCTGCGTGGTCAAGGCGCCATCCACCCTGGGCACGTTCCTGCGCAGCTTCCGTTGGGGCCACGCCCGCCAGCTGGATCGGGTGAGCCGGGAACTGCTGGCCGGGCCTGGGGCCGCTGGGGCGGGACCCGATCTTTGAACAATCACGGACCGTTGACCATCGACCTGGACCCCACCATCTGCGAGACCTACGGTCCGGCCAAGGAGGGAGCCCGCCACCACGGCTACACCGGCCACCACGGCTACACCGGCCAGCGGGGCTACACCGGCCAGCGGGGCTACACCGGCCAGCGGGGCTATCACCCGCTGCTGGCCGTCGCCGCCGGCACCGGCGATGTGCTGATGGCCCGGCTGCGTGAGGGTCGCGCCAACACCGCTCGGGGCGCCGCCCACTTCCTGCGTGAGACGATGGGACGGGTACGCTACGCCGGAGCCACCGGACTACTCACGGTGCGGGCCGATAGCGGCTGCTATAACCACGCCATGGTGTCCACCTGCCGCCAGCTGGATGCCCGCTTCTCCATCACCATCCGCCAACACCAGAGCCGGCGCAACCAGATCGAGGCCATACCCGAGGGGGACTGGACGCCCCTACCCTACTGGATGGACGGTGCTGCCGACGTGGCCGAGACTACCTACATCCCCTTCGAGAGTGCGCCCGACGCCGCGCCGGTGCGGCGAATCGTCCGCAGAGTGCAGCCCACGCCCGGTTCTCAACTGGCCCTCTTGGCCGACTACAGCTATACACGGCTTCATCACCGACCGGGACGGAGGCACTCTGGAACTGGAGGCACTCTGGAACTGGAGGCCGATCATCGCCGCCACGCCGAGATCGAGAACGCCATCCGCGACCTCAAGTACGGCGTGGGACTGAACCATCTCCCCTCAGGGCGTTTCGCCGCCAAGTCCCCTTGCAATCTACGGCCTGGCTGGCCGTCCAGGTGATGGCCCACAACCTGGCCCACTGGGCTGCGCGCATCGGTCTGGGCGAGCAACTGGTGACCACCAAGACCCTCCGACGGCGGTTCTTCTCCATCGCCGGACGGCGCACTCGCTCGGCGCGCCGCCTCACTCGGCATCTTCCCCAGCGCTGGCCCTGGGAAAACCAGTTCACTCACGCCTGGCCCGAGTGCGCGCCGTTCCCCTACCAGCCTGACGACGCGCCGTCGGCGCCCAACCCGTCCGCCGGACAACCCATGGGCTGTCCCGCCGACCCATGCCAGCCCAGCCCGCCAGCGCCACTTCCGGCCTGCCGCCTGGCCGTTTTCGCCTGCCGCCGCCACTGCGGGCCAGTACCTTGCCACTGGCGTGGCCGCCACCGACCGCCCTGAACCACATCTATTGGCGATCGGGCCGGGCTCGTTCGCCTTTCTTACCCATCATCCCTCACGTCAACGCTAGAACCGCATCCCTTCGGTGGATTCGGGGTTAGTGAAGAGCGGTTTGAGGATGTATTGATCTTTACGGAAGTCTTCGGGAATCACGAGCACGTTCATCCGATGGCGTCCTCCTCATCGCCATCAACCAAATAGTCGGTATCGGGTATTCCTTCGGAGGACTTCATCGCGTTTTCCAGCCATCCGTTAGTGAGCAGCCGTTCCAAGCCTTGGGATTTTCTAAGCTCGCGCAGATTGTAGAGGTCAGCGATCGGGCGGATCACGCTGTCGGTTGCGTGTTCGTCCCGGTACATGATGGAGGTGTTTTCAAAGGTTTCGTCGTTCATCCACGCCAACAATGCCGGAGAATGCGTAGTCGTGATCACCTGAATGTTCCCCTTCGCCGTCTGCTTTTCTATAAGTTCCAGCAGAAGCCACAGGCGGTTGGGGTGGATGCCACTGTCGATGTCTTCAAAGAAATAGGTGCCACCATCGTCCTCGTTAAGCAGCATGGCGAGCATGGCGAGAAAGCGCAATGTCCCATCGGAAGCGCTATATGCCGACACCTTGCGCCCGTTGCGTTCTGTGATGTAGAGATGCACTCGTCCGCTGGGGTCGCGAGGAAATTCAAAGTCGCCCACATCCATCGGCGTCAGTTCCTGCAGCCATGAGGTCAGGACATGCTTGCGGTCGGGGTCGGCGCAGATTGCTTCCAGTACCGTGGGCAAATTCTGGCCGCGGTTGCCCAGCGTGGCTGCGCCGGGGATGGAAGGTTCCCGCATTTGCGCCGGCGACAGATCCAAAAAACGCATCCTCTCAATTAGTGAACAAAGGCGTAACCGCTCGCAATCAACTAGTGGGTCATATGCAATGGGCTTCGTCAAGGACGGTCGGGCTTCATGTATAAAACTCCATTCCTGTTCCGAAATTATGCTTCCGAAAACTGGACTTTCATCTATTTGCATCATCTCTGACAACAAACGAAACCCGTCCTGAGCGCCCGGGTTAATCCCAACGCCTATAGAGTAGGCTATCTTCTTCCCATCCAAGTCCAGTTCCATCTTAGAATAGAATTCTCCAATGCCGTCAGCGTAGGGCTGCCCAAATCGAACTATCTCGTTGGGCACACCCCGGATCGGCTCCCATTCGACATAGCCGCCGCCACCAACCTTCCCACCAATAGCCTCCGCCAGCGTGTACCCCCTCCCGATCCCGTGCAGGAACCGAAAGGCGTCCCGAATGTTGCTCTTCCCGCTGGCGTTTGCGCCCACTATTACCGTGAAAGGCCCGAGCTTCAGCGTCTCGTCCGCAAAGTTCTTGAAATTCTTGAGCCGCAGCGAAGTGATCACGATCGCGCTCCCTTGTTTCTGCCTGCCTGAATTATAGGCCACTGCCACCGGCGATGGGCACGCCCGTAGCCCAACCATCCTTGCCCCACCCCCACCATCCCGCTACAATCGCCCCACGCCAGCCCATGGGTGTTATGGAGGGCCATTGGCAACCGCCACACCGGTCGCGCCCGGAGCGCCGGACATCAAGAACAATCGCGCGTTCGTCCTCGGCAGCCTTTCGGTGGGACACGGCTTGTCCCACATGTTCGACCAGGGTTTCCCCCTGCTGATCACCGAAATCGCGGCGGCCATGGGTTTGGGAACCCTCCAGACCGCCGCCATATTCGCCGTCCGTCAGGGCGGCTCTAGCGCAACCAGCCTCGGGGGCGGACCCTTCATCGACCACCTCAAGTCCTACTGGGGCCTGATCCTGACCGCGTGCATGCTGGGTCACGCCGTAACCTTCGCCGCCATCGGCGGCTCCCCAACCTTTGCGCTGCTCGTGGTGGTCGTATTCTTCCTGTCCATTCCCGGATCCCTGTGGCACCTCCCGTCCGCAGCGGCTATCTCCCAGCGTTTCCCTGACCGTCGCGGCTTCGCGATTTCCATGCATGGGTTTGGTTCCAACCTCGGCAACGTCAGCGGACCCGTGATCGCCGGGGCGTTGCTGGGGGCAAGTTTCATCATCTGGCGGCACGTCTTTTTCATCTACGCCGGCCTTGCCGTGTTCATGTCCTTCTTCGTGTGGTGGTCATTGCGCGGTCTGGGACGGGAGGACGACTCGCCCCGTACCAGGAGCCTGGGCGATCAGTTCGTCAGCGCGGCCGCGCTCCTCAAGAACCCCGTTGTCATGGCCCTCATTTTCGCCGCTCTCCTCCGCGGCATCGGCCTGAACGCGCTGTTCAACTGGACCCCGTTCTACCTCCGGGAAACCCTGGACATGAGCGTCCTGCAGGCTGGCGTCTATTACGCCCTGCTCACCGGAATGGGCATCGTGTCGGCGCCGCTCCTGGGCTGGCTGTCCGACAAATGGGGACGCAAGGCGGTTTTGGTCCCCGGGTTCGTCGTCGCTGCCCTGCTGTCTCTCGCCGTGGTGAGCGTCGGTTCCAGCCTGCTCCTGATCCCCGTCATGGCCGGTCTTGGCCTCTTCAGCTTCGCCCTCCACCAGATCATCCAGGCCTCGGTGCTGGACTACGTCGGCCAGGGCACCGAGGCCACCGCCATCGGTCTGCTCTTCGGCATCAACGGTGTCATCGGTATCGGCTCGCCCTTCCTCGCCTCGGCCATCATCGAACATTGGGGCGGCTACGGCACTGTGTACTACTACGCCGGCATCCTTACCCTCATCACGGCCGTCATCATCCTGATGATCCCCCTGCGCAACCCCAACGCCGTCAACCCGGCCGGCTCCTAGCCTATCGCGCTCAGCGTTTCAATTGCCGCTCTGGACTCCCCCGTGCTACCATGACTCTTGTCATGGATCAACAGCACATCCGCAATTTTTGCATCATCGCCCACATCGACCACGGTAAGTCCACCCTGGCCGACCGCCTCCTGGAAATCACGGGAACCGTCCGTCCCCAGGATATGAAGGCGCAGTTCCTCGACCAGATGGAACTGGAGCGCGAACGCGGCATCACCATCAAGGGCAAGGCGGTGAACATGACCCACCGCACTCCAGATGGAACCGAGTACCAGCTGAACCTAATCGACACCCCCGGCCACGTCGATTTCTCGTACGAGGTCTCCCGCGCCCTGGCCGCGTGCGAAGGCGCCCTCCTGATCGTTGACGCCACCCAGGGCGTCGAGGCCCAGACCATCGCCAACACCATGCTGGCGTTGCAATACGACCTCGAGATGATCCCAGTCATCAACAAGGTCGACCTGCCCTCCGCCGAGCCCGACCGCGTCGCCGCCGAGTTGGAGCAGATCTTCGGTTTCCGCCGCGACGAGGTGATGTTTCGTCTCCGCTAAGGACGGCCTCGGTTGCCGCGAGCTCCTCGACGCCATCGTCGACCGTGTACCTGCCCCCAGGGGAACCGATGACGCGCCCTTCCGTGCCCTCGTGTTCGACTCTACCTACGACACCTACAAGGGTATCATCGCCTACGTCCGCGTCGCGGACGGCCAGATCTCCCAGAACGACCGCCTCCGCGTCATGTCCTCCGGCCGCTCGGTGGAAATCATGGAGGTCGGCGTGTTTGCGCCCGAGCCGACCCCCACCGACTCTATTCAGGCCGGACAGGTCGGCTATGTCGCCACCGGCTTCAAGGATGTCCAGGAGTGCGCCGTCGGCGACACCCTAACCAACAACGCCGACCCCGCCGAAGATCCGCTCCCCGGCTACGTCGAGCTCAAATCCATGGTCTTCGCCGGCCTTTATCCCGCCGACGGCGAGGACTACACGCGCCTGCGCACCGCCCTGGATAAGCTCAAGCTCAACGACGCCTCTTTGAGCATGGAACCCGAAAACAGCGGCGCCCTGGGCTTCGGCTTCCGTTGCGGCTTTCTCGGTCTCATGCACCTCGAAATCGTCCAGGAACGCCTCGAACGCGAGTACGACCTGGACCTGATCGTGACGGCCCCCAGCGTCGCCTACGAGGTCCTGCTTACCAACGGAGAGGTTATCCGCATCGACAATCCGTCTCTGCTCCCGTCGCCCAACTCCACCTCGGAAGTCCGCGAACCCATCCTCGGCGTCACCATCGTTGCTCCCTCCCGTTCTGTTGGCGCGATTATGGAGTTGATGCACGCCCGCCGTTCCGAGTTTCGCCGTATGGAGTACATGCAGGGCGGCGCCGGGTCCAACGGAGACTCCGATTCGGGGGAGACCGACGCCCAGGACCGCGTCGTCATGGAATACACCATGCCCCTAGCCGAAATGCTGGCCGACTTCTACAACCAGCTCAAGTCCCGCACCCAGGGCTACGCCTCGCTCGATTACACCTTCGAGGGCTACCGCGCCGCGCCGCTGGTCCGCATCGACATCCTGGTGAACCAGACCCCGGTGGAAGCCCTCAGCATGATCAGCCACCGCGACAACGCCGTCGTTCAGGGCCGCGGCATCGTCGAAAAACTGCGGACCACCATACCCCGCCAGATGTTCGAGGTGCCCATCCAGGCCGCCATCGGCAGCCGCATCATCGCCCGCGAGACCGTCCGAGCCATGCGCAAGGACGTCCTCTCCAAGTGCTACGGCGGCGACATCACCCGCAAGCGCAAGCTGCTCGAGAAGCAGAAGGAAGGCAAGAAGCGCATGAAGCGCGTCGGCCGCGTCGAAGTCCCCCAGGAAGCCTTCCTCAGTCTCCTCAAGATCGGCGAAGACGGCTAGATCTCAAAACCCCCGACACCCTAGCCAACGCAAGAGGGGCCGCGCGGTGCGGCCCCTCTTGCGTTGAACCGTCGTCCGGAAAGCGTCACAGGATGTGATACAGCATCCGGTGATCCCGTAGCACGTCCTGGGCAAAGTCGTTGTCCACCTCGCGCCACACCGAGTGGATGTGGTTAGCCTCGTTCTGGAAGTTGTCGAACTCCACGATGAACTGCCCGCCGTGGATCCGGTAGTAGTGATCCCGGCTGCGATCCAATGCGCCTGCCCACACGAGGCGGTAGTCGTCCAGGCCGGTATCGCGTATGGTCGCCAACCGCTGCTCCGCAACCGGCGCAGGAACCCCGTTCACGTATTCCCCGATCAAGGCCATCAGGGATTTCCCGCTGCGTCCCGTTCAACTCATGGCACGCGAGCCCTTCATCGTCGTGGATGGCCTGCTTGGTGCTGTTATACCCCAGGATGTCCCAGGGAGCCTTGTCGTGGATGACCGCTTTGCCGCGCTGGCCGGCGTCCAGCGAACCGATCAGCTCTATCGCCAGGTCTTCCCGCCGGCCCAGTATCCGCAGCCCCTCTTTAGGACCCTTGCGCACCTCCGCCGGATTCGCGCCCAGGAAAAACGGCGTCACCGCGATCACCTGGTCACCCCACACGCTGTAGTGAATCGACAGATGGTGTCCTTCCACCCGCCATCCCCAGGGGTCGTGCCGGCCCGGGTCGCCGAAAACCGTCCAGTAGTACAGCTCGGGATCCCGCGGCCAGGTCACCTGCCCCCACTCGGCTTCCAACGGACCCAAAACCAGCTCGTGCTCGATGATCGAACGCGCCTGCTGGTTCGACTCCTCGGTCAGGCCGGTCGCCAGCAAGTCCATCGCCAGGCTGCGCTGCTGCTCCGTCATGTCGCGCAGCGGCAGCCCGTGCCGGTTCAGCGGCGGGTAGTACCAGAAGAGCCGCTCGCCGTCCATGTAGTGGTAGGTCGCCTTCCCTCGTTGGTCGCTGTCCAAACTCGCCACCCAACGGCGAGCGGCGTCCACCATCGCGGCGGTAACATGGAGATGCGGATGCGTAAATCGGCCAGTTGTCATCGCGGATGACCTCCTGCTAGATGCTGTTGTTGAACGTTGCCGCAGTGTAGGAAAGCCCATCGCGGGGTGTCAAGGATGCCCAATTGCCACAAATATGACAGCGTTATTGCGCCAGGTCTATAATGTGCGCCCCATAACTCCATCCCCACACGCACATAAACGATGCCCCATGCCCACCTTCACTGAACGCCTCCGCACCGCCAGCGAGACCGCGCGCAGCCTCCTCTGTGTTGGGCTCGACCCTGACCCCGCGCGCATGCCGATTGCCGACACCATCGAGTTCAACCGTTCCATCGTATCCGCCACCGCAGATCTTGTCTGCGCCTTCAAACCCAATCTGGCCTTCTACGAGGCGTTGGGTCTACTTGGTTGGCGAGCGCTGGAGAAAACCGTCCAGCACATCCGCGCCGAGGCTCCTCACGCCATCATCATTGGCGATTGCAAGCGGGGCGACATCGATTCCAGCGCCGCCGCCTACGCCACCGCCATGTTCGACGTCTGGGGATTCGACGGAGTCACCGTCAACCCTTGGGGCGGTATGGACACCGTGGAACCCTGGCTCACCAAGCCCGAGAAGGGCGCGTTCATCTGGTGTCGCGGCTCAAATCGCGGCGCGGCGGACATCCAGGACCTTGCGGTCAGCGGTGTGGGCAACCTCACCCAGCCGGTCTACCTCCGCTTGGCCCGGCGATCCCAGCAACGCGCATCCCAGGGCAATCTCGGCCTCGTGGTCGGCGCCACTGCCCCGCAGCAGTTGGCCGATGTCCGCCGCATTTGCCCGGACCTGCCCCTGCTGATCCCTGGCATCGGAGCCCAGGGCGGTGACTTGGCCGACTCCGTCCGGTGCGGCGTGGACTCCCTCGGGCGTTTGGCGGTCATCAACGCGTCGCGTTCCGTGATCTACGCCTCGGCCGGCGCTGACTACGCCTCTGCTGCTCGACACGCCGCCTCCGGCCTGCGGGACGATATCAACTCCACCCTCGACGCCATAGGATTGGGATGGCAGTGATGATCGATGTCGGAGACTTGCAACCCGGCGATGTCGTTCGCCTGAAAAAGCCCCATCCGTGTGGCGGCTACCTCTGGCACGTCAACCGCGTCGGCGGCGACATCGGTCTCCGCTGCCAGACCTGCGGCCACTATGTCATGACCCCTCGGTTCCGTATCCTCAAGCGCATACGGGAAATCACCCGCCCGACCACAGACTCCGCTGAGCAGCCCAACCAGTGAAGGCCGGTTCGTTGCGGTCCGCCCTGGGACGCCGGGGCCGTTACCATGGCGTGGCGCTGCTGTGCGCTGTGGTGGCGGTGAACAGCTTCGGCATGGGCGCCATCTCGCCCGTGTTGCCGCTGTTCCTGGAGCGCGAATACGGCGTGTCGGCGACCGAGGTCGGGATCGCCGTGGGCTTCTTTTTTGGCATGGGCCGTCTCATTACCAGCCTGCCCGCCGGATATCTTTCCCAACGTTACGGACGGCGGCGCATCCTTGCTTTGGGCGCGGCCATCAACCTCGTGGGCGCGGCCATGGTGGCCGTGTCCTTCAGCTATTTTTGGCTCACCGGCTGGCGCTTCGTCTCCGGATTCGGCGGTAGCATTTTCCTCACCATCGCCACCATTTACCTCCGCGACGAGGCCACGCCCGAAACGCGCGGGCGCCTGCTCAGCCTGCAGGAACTGAGCATCTTGGCCGGCCAGACCCTCGGCCCGCTCCTGGGCGGCTATCTCGCCACCATATTCGGATTGCGCGTCCCACTCTACGCCCAGGCCGTGCTGATGGCCGTCTCATTGTTGGTCATCCTCCTGGCGCTGCCCGAATCCCGCTGGCGCGAACAGGCCGCCACCCAGCAGCGCAGGCAGAACCGCCCCACCGCGCCCGCCGCCGGCGCTCCTACCGGACCGGATGCGCCCGGTGACACTGGCCGAGGCGCCATCTGGCGCCTGATCTTCAGCCCCGCGTTCATCTTCGTCGGCTTGTTCGCTCTGATGATCGTCGCCAATCGCCAGGGCGCCCGGTTCAGCGTGATGCCCCTGTTCGGGCGTCACAAGGGCTTCGGCCCCGACCACCTCGGATTGTGGATCAGCCTTACCCACGTCCCCCAGTTTTTCACGACCATGATTTCCGGCTACATCTCCGACCGTTTCGGACGCAAGGTGCCCATCCTGCCCTCCATTATCCTGCTGTGCCTGGGCATCGCCGCATTCGTGTGGGCCGGAAACCTGTGGCAACTCCTCCTGTCCGGCGTCCTCCTGGGTATGGGCGAAGGCCTGGGCAGCCCGGCCGGTACCGTCTTCTTCGCCGATATCGCTCCCCCGGGAATGGAAGGGGTAACCATCGGTCTGCTGCGGACTTTCGGCGGCTTGGGCACCATGGTCGCGGCGCCGGCCCTGGGCGCCATCGCCGACACCACCAGCTTCCCCACTGCGCTGTGGATCGACGCCGTAATCCTCGCCGCCTCCGGTATCGGTCTGTTGCTCTTCGTCCGCGAGACCTACCGCCGCCGCCGCAGTTAGAAACGAGCCCCTCGCCGGCATTGCACCCTCCCGGTGCTTGCCCGCCAATCGGCGTTACTTGAATTTCATCCCGGCGTCACCCGATCGTCCGAGAACGGCGCATGTTCCTGCCGGACTACCCCTCGGTAACGGGCGCGCTACGCGTTGTGTCGCGAGTCAGCCGTCTGGGTAGCCGCTTCGGCCAATATGGCCGGGTGACTCAACCGTACCCTGGTCAGCAGCAGGCACCCAATGATTAAAAACAGCGCGCTCGCCCCGAGTAACGCAGTGTAACCGTACCCCGGGCCGAACCACACGGCCACCAGGTCGGGCAACGGACCGATCGCTTTGGCCCCTGCCGCGCCTACTAACGTGCCCAGGTTCACCACTCCCATGTGCTGCGCCTCTCGCCCCGGCGTCCCCAGGTCGTTGGCCATCGCCCAATGGGCGGTCAGAATTATACCCACCGCTCCGCCGACCACACTTGCCACTAGCACCGCCAAGAGGTAGGTGCTGACCCACATCATCGCGATTGTGGCCACAACCGCGATCGACGCGCCCACGGCAAGTATTGGTTTTCGCCCGATCCGGTCCGACAGCAAGCCCGACGGGTAGGTCGTGAGCACCAGCATCCCGCCGATCCCGATAATGGCCACCCCCAGCGCCTGCGCCGGATTTTCCACCTGCACCTTGTCCCTGAGGAAAAACAGCCCGTAGGTCGTGAAAATCACCACCGCCGCCATGAATGCGATGCGTGACGCTACAAACCACGGCAGGTCCGGATGCAGTCGCGCCATGCTCGTGGTCTCCGGGAATGCCATCGCGGCGCGATGGAACGTCGCCGCGGCAACTCTACCCACAATTCGCATGCGTCGGCGAATGGTCAACGAGGTGACCGTCGCCGAAACGAGTATGACCGCCGCAAACATAGCCAGAGTCATCCACAGCCAGTAGGCAGCGTCGGGAACCGCGTAATGGCCAACCATCAGCCCCGCCAGGGACAGCACGGTGGCTCCCCCCAATGCCTCCAGCAACGTTTTAATCGACGCTGCCTCGCCCATCCGGTTCGCCGGCACCAACTCGCGGATGCTGGCCAGGTACGGCGAATATGCGATGCCCGAGTTGATCTGGATGAATAGCCACACCACCAGCAAGCTGCTGTACGTAAGGGGTGTTGCCAGGGCGATCAGGGCCACCGGGATACACACGCAGGCCCAGAGCATGTAGGGAAGCCGACGCCCCAGTCGCGACCTCGTACGGTCACTGGCCCAGCCAACCGGCACCTGCACCAACGCCGCCGCCACCAGCCCGGCCAACCCCAACACGCCCAGCAGCGTGTTCTTGGCCGCCTCGGGAGCCACTTCAAGCACCAGAATGGGCAGGACAACCGTGTCCATCGCCAATATGAAACCGGCCAGCCCGAAGCTGTAGGCATTCAATCGGACCAGCGCCCACTTTCCCCAGGTTTGCGTACCCGCCGCGGACTCGGGCAGTGTGCTGTAACTGTATGCGTTCACAGTGGCCTTATGAGTTCTGTTATTCGTCGTCTGATGAATCGGCCCTATGCTACAATGCGGCGGCCGGGGTATCAAACCCGGCTTGTCCGTATTTCTCTGGCGACTACACCTTCATGGACCGGTCAACGAGAAGTCCCACGCGGTCGGTTTCCATGACGGGTATGGCCTATCCGGGACGGGTTGGGCCCATCCAGGCGCCATTCCCGCTTCGCCGAGCGCATCCCTCACCGTACACTACAGAGGCATCCTCACCGTGCGTATTTGCTCATTGCTCCCCAGCGGCACCGAAATCCTTTTCGCACTGGGCCTGCAGGATCAGATCATAGGCGTTACCGACCTTTGCGACTATCCCTCGGAAGCCGCCTCGATCCGGGTCGTCTGCCGCAGCCGCATTGATCCCTCGATCATGTCCAGCGAAGAAGTCGAGGCCGAGATGCACCGCATCCTGTCCAGCGGCGAAAGCCCCTACGACTTGGACGTCGATTGGCTCCAGTCCGCGTCCCCCGACCTAGTGATCACCCAGGATCTTTGCTACTTCTGCGAAATCGACGCCGACACGGTCCACCGCGCCGTCGAACCCATTTCTGCGCCACCGACCGTCCTAAACCTGAACCCCCGGACTCTGGATGAAATCCTGGATAGCTTCCTGGAAGTGGGAGCGGCCTGCGGCGTCCCGGATCGCGCGCGCCTCCTCGAATCGGATCTCAAACAACGCATCGAGGCTGTGGCCCGCCAGATTGACCGGGCCCGTTCCCGGCCCGCGGTGTTCTCGGTGGAGGGCGTCAAACCCCTCGTTATCGGCGGCCATTGGGTTACCGACCTGCTGCTACGCGCTGGCGGACGCTTGCCCGAAAGATTCGCCCCCGGCTGCCCCGCCGAGCGCATCTTCTGGGAGGATGTGGTCGCGGCCCAACCGGACAAATTCTACATCGACCTGTGCTCTTCCGACCTCTCCCGCAGCGTTCGCGAAATTCCCTGGCTCGCCGCCCAGCCCGGCTGGAACGACCTGCCCGCCGTGCGCTCTGGCGAAGTATACCTGATCGATCATAGTACCCTGAGCCGTCCCGGTCCCCGGGTCGTCGATGGTCTCGAACTGCTCGCCCAACTCACTCACCCTGACCTATTCGAAGGCCATATCCCACCGGGCAGCGTCCTGAAACTGGACCCGTCCGCGACTCAATTCGAACCGGATTTCATCGGCCGCGCCTTCAAACCGTGGCCCAACACCGCTCCCATCGGCGCCCCGACGGCCGGCATGGCGATCTCTTCGCCCGCGGCCTGACTATCTGGCATTAGTGATATTGGGCGGGTATAATCATCGCCAACCTAACCGGGGGTAGATGTACAGTGGTTAGTCACGATGAGTTTCGGCAGGCCATGTCAAAGTTTGCGACTGGGGTAACGGTTATCACCACGCTCGACCCGTCGGGCACTCCCCACTCGATGACGGCCAACGCGTTCACTTCGGTTTGCCTGGATCCGCCGACTCTTCTCGTATGTGTGGCCCATAACACCATCACCTACGGGTACGTAGAAGCGCAACAACGCATCGGCGTCAACGTGTTGCGCGAGGAGCAGGAAGAGCTTGGCCGGTACTTCGCCCGCCGCCCTGAGCAGCGGGAAGGTAACCCGGACTATTCGTACACCATGGGAACCCACAACGTGCCCGAGCTCGACGGTTCCATGGTCTTCTTCAATTGCGACATCGTCGGCTCACACGTTTACGGCGACCACACCATCTACGTGGGCGAAGTGCAGGAGATGAAAAGCGGCGATGGCGACGCCAACCCATTGATGTTCTACGACAGTCACTGGTACCATCCCGCCCACGAATAACCCGCCGGACCGCAGCTCGGTTCCAACCATGAAACCATGAGGGCAGGCGCGGAACCTGCCCTCTGGCGTACCGACCTCGGAAAACCCATACTTTACCCGCTCGTCGCGCAAGAACCGCCATGACCACCTCTACCAGCAACCTTGCCAATGGCGACGCGCTGCACTTCGGCGCCAGCATGGCGCTTCCCGCCAGTCGCACCGCCGAGCAGGCGCGCCTCATGGAAGATCTCGGCTTCGAATACATGGGAGCCGGAGAGCACTTCATGCGCGGCCGCCCGCCCGGACCGACCCACGCCGCCCTGCCGTTGCTCGCCGTCGCTGCCGGCGCAACCCAGCGGATGCGCGTCGTCACCTCGGTCACCCTGGCCCCTTTCTACCACCCCCTCATGCTGGCCCGCATGACGGCCACCCTGGACATCGCTTCCGGCGGTCGGCTGACCTTGGGCGTCGGCGTTGGCGGCGAGTTCCCCATGGAATACGAGAACGCCGGCCTGGACATCCGCCGCCGTGGCCGCCGCACCGACGAATGCTTGGACGGTCTCCGCCGTCTCTGGACCGAGGACTCGGTCACCCTCCATGGCCGCCACTACACGTTGGATGAAGCCGCCATCAACCCCAAGCCCGAGCAGAAGCCGCACCCTCCTATCTGGGTCGCCGGCCGCCGTGACGCTGCCATGCGTCGCGCTGTCCGATATGGAGACGGCTGGCTGCCATACTTCTACAGCCCCGACCGCTATCGGGACAGCGTGTCCAGGATTGCCGCCTTCGCCGAGGAAGAAAACCGCGACATCAGCGACTTCCAGTGGGCATTTTTTCCGTACATCACCCTGGCGCCGACCGAGGAACAGGCAGCCCATGTTGCCGCCGCAGCCCTCGGAAACCAATACCTCTACGGCGGCGATTTCATCAACATCGTGCGCCGCTATTGCCTGCTGGGCACGCCCAGGATGTGCATCGAAAGGTTGGAAGAGTACATCGACGCCGGCGCTCGATATATCATTTTCAGTATCGCCGCGCCGCGCGAGGACCGCCGCCGCCATCTCGAAGTGATTGCTAAAGATATCGTCCCCCACTTCCGCGGACGCTGATTTCACCCGCATATTGTTGACAAAAAACGTCGACGTCTGTGCCGATGTTGTATAATGACCTTTGACATCGGCATCAATGTCTAAGTAACAACCGCTCCTGTCCCTCAGCTTCGGAGTAAGTGAGCTAAAATGAGCGTTATTGAACTGCTCGATACTAAATTCGACGGGACACCCGCTACTCAGTCGCCGGTTTCCATTCGGCCTCATGGCGACCGAACCCGACGGGTGATGATGGTGCAGCCTGCATCAGCAGGCGGCAACTTCGAATACATCGCCATCCCCCGCCAGGGCATGCTGTTTCTCTCCGGAGCCCTGGCCCAGTGGGACGGCCCCTACGTCTACGAACGCGATATCTGGTTCGAAGATCGTCTGGGCCGCATGGATCCCGACACGGACCTCGACAACATCGATATCCTGATGCTCACGTCTCTGATCAACGAGACGCCCCGCGCGTATGAACTCGCTCGGCAGGCACGGGAATTCCACCCCGAACTGGTGATTCTCGGCGGCGGACCCCAGATGAGCCCTCTGCCCGAAGAAGCCATTGCCCGCGGCGGCTTCGACGCCATCGTCAACCGCGAGGGCGAGGACATCATCGGCCAACTGTGTGACATCCTGCTCACGTGGCGCGATGACCGCAAATACCAGTACCTCGAGCGCGTGGCCGGAATTTCCTTCATGCGCGACGGGCACGTGACGCAAACCCGTCGCAAGGGCCTCGTCGCACCTGACTTCGTGCCCCTGCCCGACTTCCGTTCCATCCGCGGCCTGTCTCCCATCAATCCGATGGCCGGCGGCGTGTTGGAAACCGTGCGCGGCTGCACCGAAAACTGCTCGTACTGCCAGGTCATCCAGCAGTTCCTGGGTTATCGCCTCATCGATCGCGACACCGAGTTCCGGCGCCTCAAGCAATTGGAGGAACTCGCCGCCGACGGTCTGATCCATACCGGCCGCAACGGCAAGTTCAACGTCTTCATTTCTGACGACCTCCATACTCCCCCGCTGCGGGCCGTGAAGTTCCGCAACGAACGCTTGGAACGCCTCAAGGGTTGGGCCAGCCGCACCACTTCCATGAACATGATCTGCCAGGCTCGCGCCGAGATCGGTCAGGATGATGAGTTGGCCGACGCCCTCCTGGATGCCAACGTCAAGATGCTCTACCTCGGCGTCGAATCCAACAACGCCGAAAGCCTCGCCGCCGTTCGCAAGCGGCAGGAACCCGGCCAGATGCAGAAGGATCTGGTCCACCTTAACGAAACGGGCTTCTCCGTTGTCGCCATGACCATCATCGGTCTCCCTTACGACACCGAGGAATCCATCATGACCTTGGCCGACTGGGTGACCCAGCACAGCCGGTACCAGACCGCCAACCTCCTCACGCCGTTGCCCGCCACTTCCAACTGGGACCTGAAACCTCTCAACGCGGAAGGCGGCCCGTTGCAGGAGGGCGAGATGCGGCCCTACGAGCTCTATACCGGCCGCCAATTGGTCCACGAGGACGATCGCTGGAGCATGGCCGAGAGCCGCGAGCTGTTCGACAATTACACCGCCAAGCTCACCTCCATCGACGCTCTCTATGGTCGTATCTTCCGCATCCTCGGCAATTATCGGCTTCGCCAGGCCCGCGGCGTGCAGGACCTTTCCGAGGCCACGGAGACCATGCGCAACTGGTCCCACCAGGTGGAACAGGCCGGCAAGGAACTCGGAGAAAACCTCAACCTGCGCGTCACCGAACTGTCCGATACCCTGCGCTCGGTCAGCCAGCCCCTGTCCAACATGGGCTCCGACTTCATGGACAATCTCAGGACCAGGATCAACGAGACCTCGGAGGCCCTGCGGGTCTACGCCGAACGGGCCGACAGCGGGAGCAAAGACGTCGCCACCGGCATCTCCAACCGCGTCGGCGAAGTGACCGAGATGCTCAATGGCGTCCTCGATTCGGCCACCCATCGGCGCAATCCCAACCAGGCCAGATAGCATGACGTCCAGCGGCGCCTCCGGCAGGAGAGTGGTGGTCACAGGCTTGGGGATGATCAGCCCGTTGGGTCTGAACGTTGGCGACACTGGTGCGCCGTCGCCGCTGGACAGTCTGGCATCGACTACATCACCGGCTTCGACGCCGAGGCGTTCGATACCCGGTTCGCCGCTGAGGTCAAGGGGTTCGACCCCGAGAACTACCTCGAGCGCAAGGAAGCCCGGCGCATGGACCGGTTCGCCCAGTTCGCCGCCGTGGCCGCCCAGGAAGCCTGTGCCCAAGCCGAACTCAAACCTCGCGAAATGGACCGTTATAGCGTCCACGTCGTGGTCGGCAGCGGTATTGGCGGTATATCCACCCTCACCGAGCAGCACAAGGTGCTGCTGGACCGGGGACCCCGCCGCGTCACCCCGTTCCTGATCCCCATGATGCTCGCCGACATGGGTTCCGCTCAGGTCTCCATGGTAACCGGCGCCATGGGCGCCAACTACTGCATCACATCTTCCTGCAGCAGCGGCGCCGACGCTATCGGCGTCGGGTGGGACCTGATCCGCCACGGCAAGGCCGAAGTTGTCCTCGCCGGTGGCGCAGAAGCGCCCGTAGCCCCATTGTCCGTCGCCGGATTCAACGCCCTGCGCGCCCTGTCCCGGCAAAACGACAACCCCAAGGGGAGCCAGCCAGCCGTTCAATCGAACCCGGGATGGCTTCGTCCTGGCCGAAGGGGCAGCCATCATGGTCCTGGAGAGCGTGGAACACGCCGCCGCCCGCGGCGCCGAACCCATCGCCGAACTGCGCGGCTACGCGGCCACCAGCGACTCCCACCACCTAACCGAACCCAACCCCACCGGGCAGAGTGCGGCCACTGCGGTGACTGAGGCTCTGGCCGCCGCCGGACTGCAACCCACCGACGTCGATTACCTCAACGCCCACGGCACCTCAACGCCCTTGAACGACTGGCACGAAACCAAGGCGCTCAAGTTGGCCCTCGGTGATGAGGCGTACCGCATTCCCATCAGCAGCACCAAGAGCATGACCGGCCACCTCCTCGGCGCCGGCGGGGCGCTGGAAGCCGCCTTGTGCACCAGGGTTCTCGCCGAAGGTCTGATGCCGCCAACCATCAACCTCGACGACCCCGACGACGAGTGCGACCTGGATTACGTTCCCAACGCCGCGCGATCGGGCGACGTTAACGTCGTGCTCAGCAATTCATTCGGGTTCGGCGGTCACAATTCCGTGATCGTTCTGACCCGGCCCGGTCTGTGACCTCCACGCGGCACACTCCCCCGTCCAAGCGCTGGCTGCTTCCGCCCCGGCCTGACGGCCACCGCCTCGCGTCCGATCTGTCGGTCCCCGCCGTCCAATTGCTCCTGTCCCGCGGAATCGGCGACGATGCTGCGTTGGCCCGGTTCTTGGACCCTCCCGACGTACCGTATTCGCCCGATTCCCTGCCCGGCGTGGACCTGGCCGTGCCCCGGCTCGCCTCCGCAGTCAACTCCGGAGAAACCGTCGCGGTCTTCGGCGATTTCGATGTGGACGGCATCACCGGCACCGCAATCCTCTGCGAAACCCTGCAACGCCTCGGAGCCAGGGTGATCCCCTACCTGCCCGATCCCGTTGCCGAGGGCCATGGCATGACCCCACTGGCGGTTGAACGCCTCATCTCCCGTGGGGCATCGCTCATCGTCACCGTCGATTCCGGCGTCAGCAATGCGGCGGAGGTCGCTCTCGCCAATCAGCAGGGTACCGATGTCATTATCACGGACCACCACGTGCCCCCTCCCCAACCGCCCGATGCCGTGGCCATCGTCAACCCCAGGATGACCGGCAACCGGTATCCTTTCCCCGATCTGTGCGGCGCCGGTATCGCCTACAAGCTCGCTGCGGCCCTGTTGCGCCATCTTGGCCAACCTGACGACCCATCCCTGCTGGAACTCGCCGCCCTCGGCACCATCGCCGACCTCGTGCCATTGCGCGACGAGAACCGACACATCGTTCGGAAAGGACTGGACCTCCTCCCTTTCACCACTCGGCCCGGCCTGCGTGCTTTGCTGCGTCGGGTAAACCTCGCCAACCGTCCCATCCGCGCGGAGAACGTTTCATTCCAGATCGCCCCCCGGCTCAACGCCTCCGGTCGGATGGCTCATCCCGAAACCTCGCTCAACCTGCTCCTCACCGGCGACGAACGCGAAGGCGAGGCGCTCACCAGCCAGTTGGAACAATACAACGCCCGCCGCCGCGACCTGACAACCCGTTCCGTGGACATCGCCATTGAACAGGTCATGGCTTCCTCGCCCCTGCCGGCGATCATCATCAGCTACGACGATGCGTATACGCCCGGAATCAACGGGCTCGTTGCCGGACGCCTGTCCGAACTGTTCAATCGCCCGTCCATCTCCTTGGCCCGCGCCGACCCCGACCACCTCGTCGCCAGCGCCCGCAGCTCTGGTGATTTCAGCCTCATCAACGCCATCTCCCAATGCGACGATCTCCTGGTCCGCTATGGCGGACACCAGGCCGCCGCCGGCTTCACCGTCCGCAATGACCTCTACGCCGAAGTCGTGGACCGGCTTACGGGCATCGCCAACGCGCAGATGGGTCTATTCGGACCTGAGCCTTCCCTGGAAATTCACGCTGAGGGTACCCTGGACGAACTGCTCAGTCCCTCAATGGCGGAGCTATGCGCCCGCCTGGAACCCTTCGGAAAGGACAATCCTGTTCCCCGCTATTTGACGCGCCGGGCTCGAGTCCTCAATTCGGGATATGTCGGCGCCAACGGCCAGCACCTGAAGCTGCACGTCAGTAGCGGCAGCCGTTCCATCGACGCCCTGGCGTGGAATTATCCCGGTGATTGGGGCGGCTACGACGCGGTTGACCTCGTCTTCCAACTCGCCGAGGACAGCTATCGCGGCGAGCGCCGCAATTACCTGCGCGTGGACGACCTACGTCCCGCAGCGTAAGCCCACTGGCTCAACGCCCGTTTGCCGCCGGCGAGGCGGAGCCGCGCCCGGCTCCAGGGCTAGTTGGACCGCCGCCGAGGCCGCGTCTCACCGCCCCGGGTCGGCCGGACCAACCGAGCCCGGTAGATCAGCAGCGGCACGGTCACGAGCATGATCGCCAGCGCCACCAACTGCGCCTCGTTGAACCCGAAAATGTACGTGTTCTGTTCCTGCCGCACGAATGATATGAAAAACCGTCCCGCCGAGTACCCCGCGAAGAACAATGCGAACAGCATTCCCCGGGGCCTTACTCGATCCCTCAGCAACCACAGGACTCCCGCCCATACCAGGCAGAATATCAGCTCGTAGGCCACCGCCGGATGCGACGCCGGCCGGCCGAAACCCAGGCTGTCCGGATCGGTGTACACCCACGCCCACGGTAGGTCCGAGAAACTCGACCAGTGCTCGCCGTTGATGACGTCGCCAATTCTACCGATGGCCAAAGCGATCAGCAGCGCCGGCGCGGTCACGTCCGCAAGATGCGAAACCGGCGGCATCTGCGCCACCGCCCGGTGCATTCCCGTCCAGCGCAGCCCCGGGTTGTCACAGAAACTGATCAGCCACTGCGCATTCCGCAGCATGATGTACGCCGCGCCCCCGACGAACCCGCCCAGGTACGCCCCAAATATCGCGATCCCGCCATTCCAGAAGTAGACAATTCGGATCGGATCGTACTGGTACACGTCGTCCCAGAAGTCGACGACGTGCAGTATCCGCGCTCCGACTATCCCGCCGATTATGCACCACGTCGCCACCGACAGGATCGCGTCTCCGTCGAGCCCGTCTTTCCGGCCCCAACGCCAAGTCAGGTACACGGCAACCGCAACTGCGATGAACGTGAAAAAGCCGTGCCAGGACAATATGAACCCGGCGGTGCGAATGATGTCCGGATCAAAGGGTATGCTGATTACCGCAAGAATATCCATTGGCGATTGGTATCTCCGTGATCGTCGGTTTAGACCTGGTTGATCGTTGGTTGGACTTGGTTGATCGATGCCGCCCTGGGGCGGTCCTCGGGGCTAATCGTCCGCACAAGGTACGCTGTGGCGTCGGTGCCCTGCAAGGACTCGGCCACCCGGATACGCTCAGTTTCCGAAGACGGCATGGTGTATAGCGTTGGTCCCGCACCGGACAGTCTCGGCGGATACCGCGTCACCGCCGCCACTGAGTCCCATACGCTTCCCAGCCCTGAAAAGATTTCTCGCGCCGCCCTTTCGAACGCGTTGCAGCAATCCTCGGACGTCAACGCCTGCCCACCGGATCGACTCGCTATTCGCCGCGTTCTGCTCCCGTCCGAAAAATCCCCCGGTCGCAGCGCCCGGTACATCGTGGGCGTCTTGACATCGATGCTGTCCGCCGGAACCACCAGCAACACTTCAGTGGCCGGCAGCGCTGGCAAAGGCGCAATCTCGTCTCCCCGCCCGGTTCCCATCGCCGTTCCCCCGTTCAGCAAGAACGGCACGTCGGACCCCAACCCAGCCGCAATCTCGGCCAGTTCCGCCATCCCCAGTTTCAACCCCCATAGTCGGTTCAGCCCCAACAACGCCGCCGCCGCATCCGCCGACCCGCCGCCCAATCCCGAAGCGACGGGAATTCCCTTTTCGATGTGTATGCGCCCCCGTGGAACCGCGCCAACCCGACTGGCCAGCGCCACCGCCGCCTTCCACGCCAGGTTGCTCTCCCCTAACAGGCTCGGCTCGTCGCACTCTACTTCCAGCTGCGCGGCTTGGCTGATTACCAGCGTATCCGCCAGGTCCACAGTCTGCATGACCGTGGCCACGTTATGGTAACCATCATCGCGCTTGCCGATGACTTCCAGCGTCAGGTTCACCTTGGCGTACGCCTTGAGCGTCAGCGGTTCACGCGCCATGAACGCAACCCACCCGGACGTTAGGCGTTCCGAGATCTCGGAACGCCGGCAGGCCACTTGGCATCCAGTGCCGCCCACTCCGCGATTTCCAGCGTCGCCGGACGCCTTTGCGGATCGATCTCCGCTGCGTCCAGCGCGGCGGCCACCGTCTCCAGTGACGCTCCCGTCCCTTGCGCCACCGAGTTGCGCAACTGCTTCCGTGGCGCGCTGAACCCGGCCCTCACCAGCGCGAAGAAATCCCCCGTATCGACCACCGCAGCGGCCGGTTGCGGACGCACCGCCAGTTTCAGCACGGTGGAGGAAACCTTTGGCGGCGGTCGGAAACTCCGTGCGGGGACCTGCACGACCACCGAGGGTTCGGCATAGAACTGTGTCGCCACCGACAACAACGTGAACTCCCCGGGTTTGGCGTTCATGGCGTCCGCCACTTCCCGCTGTACCATCACCACCATCAGCGTCGGTGGCCTGACCGTTTCCAGGAACCTGCGCACGATCGGCGCGGCCGCGTAGTACGGCAGGTTGGCTACCACCTTGTAAGGCGTTTCCGAACCGACGAGTTCGTCTGGGACGATCTCTCTCCCGTCCCCGGGCCTGACATCCAGGTTGGACGGGAACCCCAGCCTCCCTGGCAGTTCCTCGGCCAAACGTTGGTCCAACTCGACCGCAACGACTTTGCCAGCCTGCTCCACCAGCCTCCGCGTCAATACCCCTGCACCGGGACCAATTTCCAGCACCACGTCGGACCCGTCCGGCTCCGCTGCCGCGACGATCCGCTGGGCGACCCGGGGGTCCGCGAGAAAGTGTTGCCCCAGCGATTTGCGCCGCCGGCGCGAAGGGGTTGAGGCCGCAACGGTTTTCGGCATGCTTCTACAGTGCTGACGACCCTCGGCCACACGTGACCAAGCGAGAATCAAAAAGTGGCCGAGCACCTCCCGTTGGCTGCAGCCTGGGGGCATATCGTCGGGACTGGCTCGGGCCAGGCACTCCCACGGCACCCACGGGACATCGCTTACCGTTGCTGCCGTCAAGCCCTGGCGGGGTTCACGAGCCTGCGCCGCGTGGGACCCGGCCGTCAACACCATTCCCTGGGAAATTGGCCCTTGCGCCTTGCCGAGGGGAGGAATTCCACCCCGCTGTGGCGGGTTGCGGGTTCAGGGCACCGCCAGCTCCCCGTGTAGCACGACCACTCCGAACATGGTATGCCCGCACCCCAATAGTGTCAATCCGCGCCGTTTTTTGGTAGTGAGTCAGTTTGAAATGGCGTATTACAAAACGCAATAATCATGAAACTGCGCAGGAACGTGCCCAGGGTGGATGCCGCCTTCAGCACGCAGCCCAGCACCCGTCCCGTCCGACCAGCACGCAGCTCGTCGGCGTCGTCAATGCAGTCGCCACCAGCCAGCGCGGAGGCCGCCAGCGTCAGCATCTTGTCGCCCGTGTTCGCCCACCCCAGTGCATCTCCCAGGTCCAGATGACGGTCAACCGGTTGCGGCAGGCCCAGGTGCTGGGCCAGGGCGACCGGAAGGAGCAGCCCAGCATTGGCCATCGGGCGGTGGTCGTCGAAGGATATTTGGATGCGGTCGGGGTCGCTGCGTGGTAGCACCCGTTGGGTGGTCCTGGTCTGGGGACGGTTTGGTGTTTCACAAACCATTATCCCTGAAGCCGGGAGCACTTTCTTACACCTACAACCCACCGCCGCACTCATCTTTTCGGTGGATTGGGGGTTACGTCTTCGACGTCGCCCTTAGCGTAACTTCTTTCTTACCGTCCATGCTGGTACAACGCACGGCCACATTTGGGGGCTTGTCGGCGGCGAGATCCAAACGATCCCCGGGAGAAGTCGGACGGCGTGATCAGCAGAGGATTTCCCAAAAGGTGGCGAACAACTGGAGTGCAAACCCAGCCACCAACAGGATCGTACCGGCGAAAGCCCACTTCCGGCTCAAAGATTTTCTTACCCGGAGTTCTTCAACCGGGTCAGCATCAAGTAGGTTCCCATATTGAAAAATAAACAACCGCGACCCGTTTGGGGATGTCGTCCGGCGGCGGATTAGGCGACATGATGATTCTGGGACTGAAAGGATCCCCTTTGATGAACACAATCAACACTCCAATCATGTCCATGAACAAACCTATCGGCTGCAGGAATGGCACCAATGAAACTATCAGCGGCACGATCTCCAATAGTATTCTCCTTCATTTGGTTCGGCGTCGGTTGCACACGATCGCATTGTCGTGCGCATGGCGCGTCACGGCCTCAAGTGGACGCTAGAGCTGATCGACGAGGGCGTCGCCGCGTACGGCCGTCTGATCCCGCAGGCCCTAGCCCGGGCCGGCTGCATTATGTACCAGGAAGAGTTCCTAAACCCCAATCCACCGAAGAGATGATTGTGGCAGTGTGCTGAAGGGATAAGAAAGCGCTCCCGGCTTCAGGGATAATGGTCTGTGAAACACCAAACCGTCCCCAGACCAAGAGCACCCACAAGATGCCACCATCCAACGACCCTGACCGCATCCAAATCGCCTTCGACGACCACCGCCTGGTGGCCAATGCTGAGTTGCTCCTTGCGGTCACTCTGGCCCAGTACCTGGGCCTGCCGCAACTGGTTGACCGTCATCTGGACCTGGGAGATGCACTGGGACGGGCCAACACCGGCGACAAGATGCTGACGCTGGTGGCCTCGGCGCTGGCCGGTGGCGACTGCATTGACGACGCCGACGAGCTGCGCACCGGCGGGACGGCTGGCGGAACTGCCCGGGTGCTGGGCTGCGTGGTGAAGGCGCCATCCACCCTGGGCACGTTCCTGCGCAGCTTCCGGTGGGGCCACGCTCGCCAACTGGACCGGGTGAGCCGAAAGTTGCTGGCCCGGGCCTGGGGTGCCGGAGCCGGAGCCGGACCCGGCGACGGGGAGTTGACCATCGACCTGGACTCCACCATCTGCGAGAACTATGGTCTGACCCAGGAAGGGGCGCGCCGTCACGGCTACACCGGCCAGCGCGGTTATCACCCGCTGCTGGCCCGACCGCGCCAAGGCCGCGACAACACCGCTCGCGGCGCCGCCCATTTCCTGCGCGAGACGATGAGCCGAGTGCGCTACGGTGGGGCCACCGGACAACTCACGGTGCGGGCCGACAGCGGCTTCTACACCCACGCCATGGTCGCCGTCTGCCGCAAGACGGATGTCCCCTTCTCCATCACCATCCGCCAGCACCAAAGCCTGCGGAACCTGATCGAGGCCATACCCGAGGCAGACTGGACGCCCATATCCTATTGGATGGACGGCGCCGCCGACGTGGCGGAGACCACGTATGTCCCATTCCAGAACGAGGCCGACGCTGCGCCAGCACGGCTCATCGTGCGGAGGGTGGGGCCCACGCCCAACTCCCAACTGGCCCTGTTTGCCACCTACAGCTATCACGGTTTCATCACCGACCGGGAAGGCGACACCCTGGAACTGGAGGCCGACCATCGTCGTCACGCCGAGATCGAGGATGCCATCCGCGACCTGAAGTACGGCGTGGGACTGAACCATCTCCCCTCAGAGCGCTTCGCCGCCAACGCCGCCTGGTTGGCCGTCCAGGTGATGGCTCACAACCTGGCCCACTGGACGGCGCGCATCGGCCTGGGCGAGCAGGTGGTGACCACCAAGACCCTCCGACGACGCTTCTTCTCCCTGCCCGGACGCCTCACCCGCTCGGCGCGCCGCCTGACCTTGCATCTGCCGCAGGGCTGGCCCTGCGAAACCCAGTTCACTCGTGCCCTGGCTCGACTGCGCTCCTTGCCGCTCCCTTCCTGACCGCGGCGCCGGCAACCGGCCCGCCACCCTCGCCCTCATCCGCCAGTCAGTCAAAGGTCTCTACAACTCGTGCCGCACACCTGGGCCAGCGAGAGTTCCTTGCTGCCTCCGGCCGCTTCATGCGCGGCTCCCCTCGCCGACCACAGGCCCGCTACCGGCGCCATCCGCCCGAAATCAGACTGGCCGACCCCGTCTCCATCCCTGTCATGTCCCGCTCCAGCGCCCCCACCACTCGCATCGGTGGATTTGGGCTAAGGCAGTCCACACGTCGGAACTGAGTATCCTGCGGCTCACCATCGCGGAGGTCCCGGCAAACCTGCTGGAGTACGACCGCCACGATTGGAAACACTGGACCGACGACGACTGCCAGGACGCCCGCAATGGAGCGCTGGTTGCCGCAAGCCGTGCTGCCGTATCTTTCAAAACCGCCCGGCGATGCCGCGTCGCCGCCGTCGAATGGCTTGCACCGTACACGACCACCACCGTCGTCACCAACCCCAGCAAACTCGACGTCGACCACATGGCGCCGCTCGGTAACGCCCGCGACAGCGGTGCCTGGCGATGGTCGGCCCAGCGAAAGGAATGCTGCACGAACTACCTCGATGATCCCCAGCACCTGATCGCCGTGACGGCGAGCGCCAACAGGTCGAAAGGCGCACGGGGACCCGAAGATTGAAAACCTGAGGACAGGATTTACTGGCGCCAGTACGCCGTCGACTGGATTACCGTTTACGCCGCTTGAATTGCGAAAAGTCCAGATTAGAGCACATCCCTCGACACGCGCCGCTACGCGAGGGGATAATTCCGCAACTGGCATCAGCCTGGGCGACGAGCAACAAGACTCCCCGGCAGGTGCGGAACTTGAAAGGGCAGGTGCTACGATGACGACCAGCGATACGCGACAGGACCAAGTCTCGGCTCCTTCCAATCTTCAGGAGCTCGTTCCCCAGGAACTGCTCGGCGCGGTGCGGTGGCGGTGCATCGGCCCGCCCCGGGGCGGGCGGGTAGTGGCGGTGGCCGGCGATCCGGTCAACCCCATGGTGTTCTACTTCGGCGCGTGCGCCGGCGGGGTATGGAAAACCACCGACGGCGGGACATATTGGGAGAACGTTTCCGACGGCTACTTCAACACCGCCTCGGTGGGCGCTATCGCCGTGGCCCCGTCCGACCCCAATGTGATCTACGCCGGAATGGGGGAATCCTGCATCCGCGGCGACGTGACCTACGGCGACGGCGTGTACCGGTCCACCGACGGCGGCGAGACCTGGACCAACATGGGTCTATCTGATACCCGTCACATCGCTCGCGTGCGGGTGCATCCAGCCAACCCGGACGTGGTGTACGTGGCGGCGCTGGGACACGCCTACGGCCCCAACGATGAGCGGGGCGTGTTCCGCTCCAGGGACGGAGGGAACACCTGGGAGCAGGTCCTGTTCCGCAGCGAGAACGCCGGCGCCGCGGACTTGTCAATGGACCCCAACAACCCGCGCATACTCTACGCCTCTATCTGGGAGACCCGTCGCACGCCCTGGAGCCTCATCAGCGGCGGGCCGGAGAGCGGCATCTTCAAGTCCGTGGATGGAGGGGACTCCTGGACTGAGATCACCGACAACCCCGGGTTGCCTGGCGGCCTCAAAGGACGTATCGGCGTCGCCGTGTCCCCCGCAAAATCAGGCCGAGTGTGGGCCACCATCGAGGCCGAGGACTGCGGCCTGTACCGTTCTGATAACGGTGGTAACACCTGGGAGTTGGTCAGCGACGAGCGCGATCTGCAAGGGCGTCCCTGGTACTACCAGCACGTCTTCGCCGATCCGCAGGATGCGGACACGGTGTGGATACTCAACTACCAGTGCTGGGAGTCGGTCGACGGAGGACGCAACTTCAGCCGGGTCACTACGCCCCACGGCGACGACCACGACCTCTGGATCGACCCCAACAATCCCCTACGGATGATCGAGGGCAACGACGGCGGCGCGTGCGTCACCTTCAACGGCGGGGAGAGCTGGTCCAGCATCTATAACCAGCTCACGGCCCAGTTCTACCATGTGGCCACCGACAACCAGTTCCCGCACCGGGTGTACGGCACCCAGCAGGACAACACCGCGATCAGCGTGCCCTCCCGCACCAACAAGGGGGCGATCCCCTGGGGGGACTGTTACGTGGTGGGGAACTCGGAAAGCGGCCACATCGCCGTACATCCCCAGGACCCCAACACCGTCATCTCCGGGGCCATCGGCAGCTCTGCCGGCGGCGGCGGGAACCTGCTGCACTACGACCACGCCACCGGACAAGTGCGGATCATAACGGTGTGGCCGGAGCTGTACACCGGATGGGGCGCCCAGGACATGAAGTACCGCTTCCAGTGGACCTATCCCATCCTGTTCTCGCCCCACGACCCGCAGACCCTGTACGTGGCCGGCAACGTGGTGTTCCGCAGCGCGGACCTGGGTGGCAGCTGGGAAGCCATCAGCCCGGACCTGACCCGCAACGACCCGTCCACCCTGGAACCCTCGGGCGGCCCCATCACCAAGGACACGTCCGGCGCCGAGGTCTATGCAACCATCTTTGCCTTTGTGGAATCTCCGCACGAGGCGGGAGTCTTCTGGGCCGGCTCCGACGACGGGCTGGTACACATTTCGCGGGACGGCGGCATCACGTGGGATGCGGTTACTCCCGACGACCTGCCGGAGTGGACGCTCATCTGTATGATCGAGGCATCCCCGCACGACCCGGGCACGGCCTGCCTGGCGGCCACTCGCTACAAGCTGGACGACACCCGTCCCATGCTCTACAGGACCACCAACTACGGTCAGACCTGGACATCGATAACCGTCGGCCTGCCCCAGGATGACTACACCAGGGTGATACGGGAGGACCCCAATCGTCCGGGCTTGCTCTATGCCGGGACCGAGACCGGGGTGTACGTGTCGTTCAACCAGGGGGAAGAGTGGCAACCGCTGCGGGCCAACCTGCCGGTGGTGCCGGTGTACGACCTGGCAATCAAGGACGACAACCTGATTGCCGCCACCCACGGACGTTCCTTCTGGATTTTGGATGACCTGGGCCAGCTGCACCAACTCACCGCATCCCTGGCGGACCAGCCCTTCACCCTAATGCGGCCGCGGGACACCTACCGCGTCCGGACACCGTTCCGGGATCGAAAACCCTCTCCCGGCAAGATCTATCGCGCCGGGCTGGGAGCGGACGTCACCTACAGCGAGTCCCTGGGGAAATCGGGCGAGACTGCGCGTAAATTCTGGGACGCCGGGGAAAATCCACCCGACGGGGTGATGATTCACTACTACCTGAAGGACGCGCCGGAGGAGATAAGCCTCAGCATCCTGGACGGTGACGGGAGCATCATACAGAGCTTCTCCAGCAACGCCACGGAGGCCGACGGGAATGCCCAGGAACCCAGGACCCCGGCCGGGACTGGGATGAACCGCTTCGTGTGGAATATGCGCTACCCGGCCTCCCGCAGGGTGCCCGAAGACAAGACCACCGAGGACGCAGTCGTCGGGCCGCTGGCATCACCGGGGACTTACCAAGTGACGCTGCAGGTGGGCGCCGACTCCCAGACCCAGACCTTCCGCATAGTCAAGGACCCCCGGGTGGAAGCCAGCCAGGAGGATCTGGACGCCCAGTTCCAGTTCCTGATCCAGATCAGGGACAAGGTGTCGGAGACTCATGACGGCATCAACCAGTTGCGCCGGGTCCGGCAGCAGATGGAACAGTGGGTGAGTCGCGCCGAAGGGCATGCCTCGGCGGAGGCGGTAAGCAACGCGGCGGAGGCGGTGAAGGAAGACCTGGGGCAGATTGAAGACCTGCTGATCCAGTCGGCATACCGGGGTGCCCGAGACCGTTTGGATCTGCCGGCACGGCTCAACCGAAAGCTGGTGGAACTCACCGCCGTGGTCGCCAACGCCGACTTTGCGCCCACTCAGCAGACGTACCAGGTCTTTGATTACCTAACCGCTGATATAGACCAGCAACTGGGGGCGCTGCAGAAGGTGATAGACGAAGACGTGGCCCAATTCGCCAACCTGGTCAGGGACCTGGACATACCGGCCATCGCGACGTGAGCGGGAGCCCCGGGCTGATGCGTACCCAGTCTGTCATTGCCAGGAGCGCAGCCACGCGGGCGTTCTTTGGCGACGTGCCAAGATGCCCGGTCATCGACAATTTCTCGGCCACAGTGGCGGGTCCCGAGCCGTTGCATCCTCGCCTAACCCAAGGATTTCTGGAATGTTTCCAGCATCCCGGTTTCGTCGTCGATCCGGCCCGGGTCCATCATCCCAAGGTAGAACGAAGCGTGTCCCGTCAAATGAACTGCTGCTTTGCCCAACCCTCCTCGAAGGTCGCGTGGAAGAAGGGAGCCGACTTCTTGCTCTGGTACATCCACTGGCCTTGGACTCGCACGTATTCCTCTTCGTCGAGACCGGCCCGCCACATCGCCTTCCCGGTGTCTCCCACGGTGCACGGCATGAACAAGTACCACCGAGCCCGGGCAGTATCGCCGGTAACTTCGATCTGCGGGTTCAGACCGTAATGCAAAGCAAAGACGAAGTGGCCGGAGATTCCGCGAAAGAACTCGCGAATTGCCTCCCTTCCCTCGTATTTCCCCAGCCCCTGGCTTTCCCAAGTGGCGTCCTCAACAAACAATGCGGCCAGCCGGTCTGGGTCATAGTTGTCATCGCAAGCGGCGGCGTATTCTGCCTTGAGGTTGCGCAGCGCATCAATATCCTCCAGGCGACGAACCCTGTCCCGCAACTCCTCCACCACCGCTGCCAAGTCGGCTGCTTGATCAGTTGACATCCGATTACCTCGTCCGAGTTTCGTAGATTTCCAGGTCATGATGAGCCTTTAGCACGCAGAAATATATTTGGCAATATGCTTCGGGAAAGAACCTTTTATAGATCGACTCGGGTATCGCAGTGCTGCCCCGCCACAACCCAGTTCGGCCAGTGGTTCGATGTCCGCCTCCATCCCGACGTCTTGTAGACGCGGCTGAACAACTCCACACGATCCGATGGTGCCGTCCACACGCCAAGGACGAAGACGGGGTCGTGTGCGAACGGTAGCGCCTTGGACCGTACCGTGCTCGTTTGCAAACGGAATGCCGCCAAGAAGCACCGGTTACCGTGACCAACTGGTTGTGGGCCTAATGAGTGCTTCCCGAACAACGAGACAGCACACTGCCGTCGAACACAACCGAAAAATGCGCCATCCGATCCGTCTGAGAAATCGCCATAAAGGCCATGAATACGAGCTGTCGCGCCAATTTTCGTACTTCGGACGACCCCAAAGCCCGAAACGGGGTGAGAGCGCGTGTTTTTGTCGAGCCCTGTTCGCAAATCCTGAACTGCCATCAACGATCACAGAACCTGCACCAGACTCCCCCGCGGCCGGGGAGTCGAACGAAGACACACGCGGAGGTCAATTGAGAGGACAGCGACGTTGTGGAAAGCTAAACCGAGGCCAAGGTGAAATCTACATATGGCGAGGCGGGGAGATCGGCTTGGGCGCTGTCAGTCAGTTGTGCTGCGCGAGCCTGAAGGGCGGTCCGGCAGCGCCGCTTGACCCCCTCGCGTCGGTGGGCTAGATCGGTGAAAAAGTCGCCCACCCTTTCCCGCACTGCGGTACGGGTCCCCAGGCACAGGTTGGCGGTAGCCTCCTGGCGCACCCAACCCCAAATGGGGCGATTGGTCAACAATCGGGGCGTTGAAGTAACTGTTCAGACTTGGTGAAGGTGAACGCCACGTTTGCCGCCGCCTGCGGCTCCCCGTGAGCATGAACAGGTAGGATTTCAACAGGGCGGGAGCGTACTGCGATGCCCAGATCCACTCAACTCTGAACAGTTACGCGTTGAAGTCTGGACTATAACTGGGCAGGTTCACCAGGTAGTTCTTCAAAATGCATAGGGGCATCTCATCACATCCGGGGTTCGCTGGCTCCACACTGATCGGGCGACCGGGCGTCGCGGACCCCTCTCCGCACCCACGCTATTCTCACTGCCAACCGGACTCTCCAACTCACAGCGCGGACCGGTGCCAATTGCATCCCGCTAATCGTTGCCAGCGGTACTCGCAAATACGCCCGTGGCCGGCTGAAACAAAGTAACGCCAGGCAGTCACCCGCCTGGCGTTATCCGAATCTGACTTAGCGCGGCAAGCCGCGACGTTGGCGCGTTACGCGCTCGGCGGCGGGGCGGGCGCCGGGTTGTACAGTTCGACCCCGATCGTCGCCGGGAATACACCTGCCAACTCGTCCACCGTCCACCTGCTGTCCTTTTGGATTGTCTTCACCGGCTCCGGCTCGTTCAGCAGCGTCACCAACCCACCGGTCACGTGGAAGACGTGGCCGTTCACGTGCTGGGCCTCGTCGGAGGCCAACCATGTGACCATCGGCGCAACGTCTTCGGCATCGCCGCGCAACCCGCCGCCGGCGGCGATGCCGCGCGCCGACCGCAACGCCCGGGCTTCGTCCGGCACGCTCGTCGTCATCCGCGTGCTTGCCGAGGGCGAAATCGCGTTCGCCGTCACGCCGTAGCGTCCCAGGTCCCTCGCACACACGCGCGTGAACCCGGCGATGCCGTCCTTGGCCGCGCCGTAGTTCGCCTGTCCGCTATTGCCGTACAACCCGGACGTGCTGCTGAACGTGATGATCCGGCCCGACCGCTGCTGACGGAACAGGATGCTGGCGTGCTTCACCACGGTGAACGTTCCCTTCAGGTGTACCGCGATGACGTCGTCCCATTCCTCTTCGGTCATGTTGAAAACCATGCGGTCCCGCAGGATCCCCGCCACCGTCACCACAATATCCAGCTTGCCGAAGTTGTCGACCGCCGTCTGCACGATCTTCTCGCCGCCGGCCATCGTGGCCACCGATTCCGTGCACGCCACGGCGGTGCCGCCCAATTCGCCAATCTCGTTGACCACCTGCTGCGCCACCGAGACGTCGACTCCGCTGCCGTCCACGTTCACGCCCAGGTCGCAGACCACGACCTTCGCGCCTTCGGACGCCATCAACTTCGCGACGCCGCGCCCGATGCCGCGCCCGGCTCCCGTTACGATTGCTACCTTGTCTTCCAGTAGGGGCATTATGTCTGTCCTCGCTTTGTTAGCGATTGTCCCGGCCCAGTCGTCAGTGCGCCGGAACCGTTTCTCAGTAGTTATCGCTGCTGCGCCGGCGCTGGATTCGCGATTCCGGCAGTCAGGTAACCGCGCGCCCGCGCCGAGAGCTCATCCATCTCCCAGTGTCCCGACTCCGTCCAGATCGCTTTTTCCGGTCGCGGCTGCGACATCAGCGACACCGTGTTCCCGTACACCAGGAAGGTTTGGCCGTTGACGTTGGACGCGTAGTCTGAGGCCAGGTAGGCCACGAACGGCGCGATCCCGTCCGGGTCCAGGTTCTGCAGCTCGCCATCGCCGCCGCCGTCTCCCGAGAGCGATGCGACGCCACCACGCGCCCTGATCTCCGCCGCAGATTCGGGAATGGCCCCGATCATCCTGGTGGACGCTCGCGGCGCGATCGCGTTCGCCGTCACGCCATACCGGCCCATGTCCTTGGCCACCACCTTGGTGAGACCGGCGATTCCACTCTTCGCCGCACCGTAGTTGGCCTGGCCGCTGTTGCCCACCAGCCCGGACTGGCTGCTGAAGGTTATCACCCGACCCGACCGCTGCTGGCGGAACAGAATGCACGCGTGTTTGACCACCGTGAACGTCCTTTCAGATGGACCGCGATCACGTCGTCCCACTCCTGCTCCGTCATGTTGAACACCATGCGGTCTCGCAGGATCCCGGCGCAGCAAAACCACGATATCCAGCCGCCCGAAGTTGTCGATGGCCGCTTGCACGATTCGTTCGCCGCCTTCCATGGTGGCCACCGATTCGGTGCACGCCACGGCGGTTCCGCCCGCGTCCCTGATTTCGCCAACCACCACCTCGGCAATCGATTGGTCGAACCCGGTGCCGTCAACGTTGACCCCAGGGTCAACGACCACGACCTTCGCGCCTTCTTCGGCCATCAGCTTAGCGATCCCCCGGCCCACGCCGCGGCCTGAGCCCGTGACGATCGCTACCTTTCCTTCAAGATTGTTGGGCATAGTCGATTTATCCTTTATCTGAATTAGTTGCTCAACCGGCCGCTATCGCCGGCGCGTGTTTCTTACCCGTTGCGGCCGGGAAGCGCTACCGTGGCCGTCCCCGGTGTGGTCTGCTGTCCCTGCGGGTTCTCCAGCCAGACGGTGCAGTCCACCAGGTTCTGCTCTCCCTCCTGGTACACTCGGGTAACGTGTCCCTTGGCTGTTATCGGCTCGTCGGGAAAGTCCATCCCGCGGTATTGGCAGGTCAACCGCCGCAGTGTGGAGCCCGGGCCGGCCCAGCCCGTCACGTACGCTCCGAGCATCGCGTTCTTCAGCGCACCGTGGATGATGATCCCGGGCAACCCGATGCTCTCCGCGTAGTTCCGGTCGTAGTGAATTTCGTAAAAGTCACCCGACGCTCCGGCGTACTGGACCAACTGGCGCGTGGTGGGTTCCCTCACCTCGACCGGAAGCTCCATGCCCTCGCGGACGTCTTCAAAGTAAATCTGCTGGCCCATCGTGTTCCTCCGCCGGTGCTATCGGTCTGCCGTCAGTGCCGTATCGACGTGCTGGTCTGGGTGGCGACGATCGCTCCCGCCTGGTTCCGATATGTAACTTTGATCGTCGAGATGATCATCTGCCCGATGCTGCCCGTGCGTTCCCGAATGTCCTCCACCCGGCCCACCGCCGTGATGACGTCGCCCGGACGCACGTGCTCGAAATACTCCCAGTCGCTGCCCCCGTCGAGCAGCCGGGTGAACGGGATTTCAAAAGGCAGTTCCGGACGCACCGCCCGCATCGCCCGTAGAAAAGTCGGCGGCGCTACTATGCCCCCGGTCTCGGGAGTGCCTTCCGTGTACGCCGGGTTGTCATCCCCGATGGCCTCGGCGAACCTGGCGATGTGCCCCTTCTCAACCGCAGTAGTGGTCGGCGCGCTTTCGACGCCGATCGACTGCTCGCGCATCTCGTCGGTAAGTGTGAAAGAGTTGGTGGACAAAGAGAACCTCCAGCCTGCGCGCACTTCCGGACGCCTCGTCCGGGGCAGCAGGATTCAAGACTCGAAAATTATGGTACGGGGCGGGGCGGGTGTCAAGAAAAACCTGCCCCGGATGGTAGTCCCGGAACCAATTCTTCAAAATCGCTGCCGGAATCGGCGTCCCGACAACGGCTTCCGTTCACCGGGCGCGGGTCCCAACTCGGTCCGCCGCTGCCCACGGTGTGGGTCCATCATCTACCGTGGCCTCCCCTTATCCGCATCGCCACACCCGTCAAAGCAGGGGGCAGCGCGTCGGTCTCGTCGCCATAGCACAGGCTCACGCCAAGAACGATCGCTTCGCTGTGTTGCAACCGCGCACTCTTATTGACGACGAAGACAACCGGATGACCCTGCCAGTGCCGTGCCGCCCATTGACCTTGCCGTCCTCATGTGGCACAATCGGTACCTGATAATAATGATTATATGATTTTGCAGTAGATAACTTTTTGATGCTACGAGGCGCACCCGTGAATGGAGGTGGCCTATTATGTGGACCGGCGACGATCTACAACGTTTGGTAAGCCGGGAACTGAGCGATTATCGGCTGATCGTGGTGTCGAATCGACAGCCGTACGTATTTAAGATGGTGGACGGTGTGCCGCGTGGCGAGATGCCCCCTGGCGGCCTCACCGCGGCCATCGACCCGCTGATGCGCGCTTGCGGTGGAACTTGGATCGCCCAGAGCAACGGCGAAGATGACCTGGCGGCGATGGATGACTCCGGCCGAATTCGGGTACCTACCGATGCCCCTGCTTACTCCATGCGGTTGCTCAACTTGAGCGACGAGGAGAACACGGGCTTTTACTACGGTTTCGCCAACGAGGGCCTGTGGCCGTTATGCCACATCGCCTACACCGAACCCGTATTCGACGCCGAGCACTATGGCTTCTATCAATCAGTGAACCGTCGTTTCGCCGATCTGGTGCTCGACGAGATCAACGACGAGCCGGCCATAGTCCTCATTCAGGACTATCACCTTGCCCTGCTCCCCAGGTACATCCGCGAGGTCAGTCCCGACACTATCATCGGGCAATTCTGGCACATCCCCTGGCCCAATCCGGACATCCTGCGGATTTGCCCTTGGCAGGACGAAATCCTCGACGGCATGTTGGGCAACGACCTTCTGGGTTTCCACCTCTCGGGAGACTGCCAGAACTTCATCAGCTGCGTCGACGCCAACCTGGACGCCCAGGTCGACCCGGAATACGGGCTGATCGACTACCGCGACGAGACCACCCTGGTGCGTCCGTTCCCTATCAGCATCGATTTCGACAACCTCGACACCGAGGCTCGATCCGAAGAGGTCGAAGACGAGATGGCGCGCCTGTCGCGGGAACTGGGATTGAACCGTGGCCGCATCCTGGGCCTCGGCATCGACCGGCAGGATTACACCAAGGGCATCCCTCATCGCCTTCGGGCCGTCGAGCGCCTGTTTGAAAAATGGCCCCAGTACCGCGGCCGGTTGGTTTTCCTTCAGGCCGGAGCCACCAGCCGAACCAGCATCAATTCATACATGCAGCTCACCATCGATATCGAGTCCGCCGTCAACCGCATCAACGAGCGGTTCGGTCACGACGGCTGGCAACCGGTCCTCTATTGGCCCACTTCGTTGCCCTCTACTACCTTCTCCGCCCTCCGGCGTCTCGCCAGTTTCTGCGCCGAGAGCAGCCTTCACGACGGCATGAACCTCGTCGCCAAGGAATACGTGGCCTCGCGGGTTGACGACGACGGCGTGCTGATCCTCAGCGCTTTCGCCGGCGCCGCCCAGGAACTCACCGGCTCCCTGATAATCAACCCCTACGCCACCGAGCAGTTCGCCGAAGCCATCCACCAAGCCCTGACCATGAGCGATGCTGAGCGGCGGATCCGGATGCGTCAGATGCGAAATACGGTCCGCGAGAACAATATTTACAAATGGGCCGGCCGCATCATGATGAACCTCATGCAGGCCAGCACCCCCGATCACTCCCGCCTGACCACCACTGCCTGAGGTCGCCCGCCGTGCCGGAGTTGCTGCCGCCCGGGCTTGGACCCTTGGTCGCCGGGCATGACCAAATTCTGCTCCTGCTCGATTTCGATGGCACCCTCTCCGATATAGCCCCCCGCCCGGAGGATGTCGCCCTGCGCCCGGGCAACGCTGCAATCCTGCATCAGCTTGCTCGCCTCCCCATTTTCAGCGTCGGGGTGGTGAGCGGCCGCTCCCTGGCCGATGTGGAACAGCGCGTCGGTGTGGCCGGTCTCATATATGCCGGCAATCACGGGTTGGAAATCCGGGCGCCCGGACTGGATTACTGTCACCCCAACGCCGATGCGGCGACCACCGCCATCGCCCAGGCTGCCCGGTCCCTCCGGCACAGCACGGCCGTATATCCGGGCGCCTTAGTCGAAGACAAGACCTTCACTCTTACCTTGCACTACCGGCAAACTCCCCCGCAGTATCACGACGCGATTGCCGCCGACTTCCAGCGGACCACGCGCCCTCTGATCGACGCTGGGACGTGCCGCGTTACCACCGCCAAGATGGCTCTGGAACTCCGCCCGGCGATCCCGTGGGATAAAGGTCGCGCTCTCCTGCTGATTCGCTCCCGGGTGACTCCCAGTGCTTTCCCCATATATATCGGTGACGACGCCACCGACGAGGATGCCTACCTGGCGGCGCAGTCCGTTGGAGGTATCGGCGTTTTCGTGGGTCCTGCCAATTCGGACACTCGCGCCGATTGGCGCGTTGCGTCGCCCGCGGCCGTAACTGACTGCCTGTCCCTATTGCTGGGCGCCTGCCAACGGAGCTGATGCGCGAGACTCGCTAACCCGGAACTCCGCACGCCGTCCGCTCATTCTGAGTGCCGATCCGAACGACTGGCCCTCCCGGCGTAAATCAGCATGGTCGTTGTGCTATTATTGCCCTGCGCAGCACCGGTTTGCCCGGCGATACTGAATGCCCGTGCCGCGCTCCTCGCCGATGATTGAGGCAATCTTTTTCGATTTTTACAACACCCTGGTGCGTTTCTGGCCGCCGTTGCCGCAGATCCAGCATGCCGCGTGCCAGAATCTCGGCATCCGGGTTCCCGCGGACCGGTTGGCCCGCGGCTACGCTATCGCCGACCTCTATTTCAACGAGGAAAACCATCGCTGGCCCCTGGGTGAACGCGATGGCCTTGCCCGTGATGAGTTCTTCGCCCGCTACGAGCAGATCATCCTCGAGGAATCGGGCGTTGCCGTGTCCCTCCGCATGGCCAAACAGATCTGGGACATGGCGATCTCCGTGCCCAAGGAGTTCGTGGAGTTCGAGGAAACCCTCCCCGTGCTCAAAGAACTCAACGGGCGCGGCTACCGGTTGGCCGTCCTGACTAATCTCCGTCGCGACATGGAGGAGCTCACCCAAAGCTTGGGGATCCGCCAGTATCTGGAGTTCTGCATCACGAGTCGCGAGACCGGTGAGAAACCTGCCACCGCCATTTTTGAATCCGCTCTTCAGCGCATGGCATTGAGCCCGGAACAGGCGATGCACGTCGGAGACCAACCGCGCTCCGACGTCCAGGGCGCCCGCGATGCTGGCCTCCGTCCCGTTCTCATCGACCGAGGCGGCTTCCACGCCGATGTCCCGGATTGCGACCACATCGACAGCCTGGAAGGGCTTTACCCGCTGCTGGACCGTTTGGTGTCCTGTTAAACAATACTCCTCGCCGACCTTTCGTCGTTGCCCCCGGAACGCCCCACTTTCAGAGGTGATGCCATGACCACCCAGCCGCCGGCCCACAGTCATCCGGACGACCCCAATCCCGTGCACGTCATCGTGTGGTACGACTACATTTGACCCTGGTGCTATGTCGGCCTTGAGCGCGTCGACAAACTTTCGGAAGAGTACGACATCACCGTCGAGGGTCGGGCCTACCTGCTTCGCCCCGACACGCCCCAGGAAGGTCGCGTGCGCGAGTCGCGCCCCGGAGAATCGGACGACGAACTGGCCGACCCTCTCCGCACCCACGCACGGGAGGCCAATCTGGTGATGCGGCCGCCCAAGCATACGCCCAACAGCCTTTCTTCTCTCCAGGCTACGGAGTACGCTCAGGAGCAGGGCAAATTCCTTGAGTACCACCACGCTGCCTACGAGGCGTACTGGGACCAAGGAGCGAATCTCGGAGACCCTTCGGTTCTGGCCGATATCGGTTCTGGCGTCGGCCTCGACGGCGCCGAGCTGCGCGAACGCGTCGAATCGGGCTACTATGCCCAGAAAGTCGTGGACCAGTATCAGGAAGCACTGGGCTACGGCATCCGCGGCATACCCACCTTCGTTTTCGACAACCTGCTTTTCAGCGGCGCTCAGCCTTACGACGTCTTCCAGCGCGTGATGGACAAGGCCCTGGAAAATCGCGAAGCTGGCGATAACTGATTACCGTTTTCCGTGCGGAACGGCGGAGTCCGCGTTGCTCGCGTGAGGGCCATTGTGCTAGACTCCCGCCGTTCCAATCGGCATTTGTAACGGATTTCACAAATGGATGAAACCACCCTCCAGCTCATCGATCGGGCGGTGAATGACCAGCCGCAAAGCACGGTCACCGTTCTTTCGTCCCTGCTGGCAGTGGAGGACGCCATCGGGATACATCCCAACCGAGGCTGCCGAGGCGGTTGCCGCTCGCATGGACGCCACCGTCAACGATGTTTGGGCGGTGGCCACTTTCTATCCGAACTTCCGATTTGATCCGCCCACCGATCTTCGCGTCGAGGTTTGCTGGGGGCCGTCTTGCCACGTTATGGGCGCTACCGCCGTCATCGCCGCTGCGCAGGAAGCCATGGGATTGTCCGACGAAGGCGATACGCCGGACGGCAAAGCCACCCTTCGCTACAACACCTGTCTGGGCGCTTGCGCTCACGCGCCGGTGATGGCGATAAACCATCATCTGGCCGGCCGGATTACTCCTGACAGCGCACGATCCAAAATCGCCGAAGCCTTGGCGACCAACTCTGCACACTGATTGGCAACCCCGCTTGTGACTGTACAGACGGAATCTCCGTTTACCGCCATCCTCCAGGAGGCGCGGCACCGCTGGGATAGCCTGACCGCCGGCGATCACCCGTGGATCCGGATCGGCACCGGCTTGGCCGGCGAAGCCGCCGGCGGATTCGAAGTCGTCGCGGCGGTAAAGGTCGCTTTGGACCAGCACCAGGTCACGGCCAACGTGTCCGAGGTCGGGACGCTGGGCCTGTGTTTCGCCGAGCCGCTGCTGGACGTTCAGGCGCCAAATGGCCCAAGGGTGTTCTACAGCCGGGTCACCCCCGAACTGGCCGAGCGCATTGTCCGCGAGCATGTGGCCGGCGGCAATCCGTTGACGGAACACGCCATCGGTTACCTGGGTGAACGCGGGCAGGCGCCGTCAGGTATCCCACACCTCGAAGACCACCCTATGATGGCGTTGCAGCAGCGCGTTGCCCTGCGCAATGCCGGTCACATCGACCCGTCCGACCTCTACCAGTACGTTGCCAACGGCGGCTATTCGGCCCTGAATAAGGCGCTCACTGAGATGACGGCGGAAGACACCCTCGGAGAGGTCCGCACATCGGGCCTCCGCGGTCGCGGCGGCGCAGCTTTCCCGGCCGGTGTCAAGTGGGGTTTCCTGGCTGGCAACCCCGACCCCAACAAGTACATCCTGTGCAACTGCGAGGAGGGCGACCCCGGGGCTTTCAATGATCGGGGCATCATGGAGAGCGATCCGGCGACGGTGGTCGAAGGCATCACGATTGCGGGATACGCTTGCAACGCCAACCGCGGCTACATCTTCATCCGTCACGGTCACAACCAACCCATCGACCGCACCCGCGCCGTTATCGAGCAGGCCTACGATCTCGGCCTCTTGGGCCAGAACATATTGGGCACCGATTTCTCCTTCGATCTGGAGGTTGCCCTGACCGGCGACTCCTACGTGTCCGGTGAAGAGACCGCATTGATGGAGGCCATCGAGGGCAAGCGATCCATGCCCCGGTACCGGCCTCCGTTCCCCGCCCAGGTGGGCGTGTTTGGCAGGCCTTCCAACATCAACAACGTCAAGACCCTTGCCTACGTGCCTGAAATCGTCGCCCGCGGCGGCGCATGGTTCGCCGGCATCGGTACCCAACCCGATCGCGACAACGGCATCAACGGGAGCAGTGGCACCGCCATCCTCTGCCTGTCCGGCGATATCACCTACACCGGCTTGATCGAAGTCCCGCTGGGAATGACCTTGCGCCAAATACTCTTCGACATGGCCGGCGGCGTTCCCAACGGGAAGGCCATGAAAGTGCTCCAAACGGGCGGCCCGTTGGGCGGCGTTCTATCCGCCAGCGACGCCAATTTGGATCTGGTGCTCGACTTCGACGTCTTCCGCGCGGCGGGCGCTATTTTGGGTTCGGGCGGGATCATCGTTGCCGACGAAGACACTTGCGTGGTTGACCTGACGCGCAACCTCATCGCTTTCTGTCAGTACGAATCCTGCGGGAAATGCTTCCCCTGCCGTATGGGCATGAGCCACCTTCTCGAAGTTCTGGAACGCATCAGCAACCTCGAAGGCACCGAGGAAGACTTGTCCCTGATGCGGAACATCGGCGAGAACATGCAGGCCGGGTCACTGTGCGGACACGGGCAACTCGGGTTCAATCCGGTCTCTTCGGCTCTCCGGTATTTCGGGCACGAATTCGACGCCCACATTCGTGAAAAGCGCCACACCGGCGACTGTCCCGATCAGGTGTTCTCGCCCCGCCTAACTCGCCGCTGATCGGCCGCCTACCGATCCTTTCACCGCTCCAATTTGGACTAGGAATCGCCATGCCTAACGATATCACCATCTCCATCGACGGGGTGGAAATCAAGACCCAGCCGGGGAAGATGGTGCTCGAAGCAGCCATCGACGCCGGCGTTTACGTGCCCTACCTGTGCTACCACTCGGGCATGAAGCCCTTCGCCGCTTGCCGCATGTGCGTCGTCGCGGTGGACGGTGGACGCGGTTTTCCCGCGGCTTGCACTCTCCCGGCGGCCGACGGCATGACCGTATGGAGTGAGACCCCCGACGTTATCGAGCTCCGCCGCTCCGTGATGCAGATGCTGATCGCCGAGCACCCCAACGGATGCCTCACCTGCCACCGGGTTGATATCTGTGGACCCTCCGACGTTTGCCTGCGGCACGTCTCGGTGAACGATCGCTGTATCACGTGTCCCAAAAACGAACGTTGTGAATTCAAGGACACTGTCCGGTATCTGGGGAATGGAACTCGAATCCCCCATGACCTATGTGTACCGCGACATCCCGTTGGAGGTCAGCGATCCGTTCTACGACCGTGACTACAACCTGTGTATCACGTGCGGCCGCTGTGTCCGGGCCTGCGAAGAAATGCGCGGCGACAACGCCATTTGCTTCACCGAGCGGTCCGGCAATGCGCTGGTAGGCACTTCCTTTGGTACCTCGCTGCTGGAGTCCGGTTGCGAATTCTGCGGCGCCTGCATCGACGTATGCCCCGTCGGGGCTCTTACCGAGCGCGAGGGCAAATGGGAGAAGCCCGCCCGGGTGGAGCGCACCGTCTGCACCCACTGTCCAGTGGGTTGCCAGATGAACTTGGAGATCAACGAGCAGGGCCGGGTGGTTCGTGCGATCCCGGAGCTCAACTCTCCCGGCAAACCGCGGACAGGCTTGTTACAAGGGAAAGTTTGGCTTGAGCCATTTGACCAGCGCTCAGCGCCTCCGCCGCCCCATGATACGTCGCAACGGGCGCCTGGAAAACGCCACCTGGGAGGAAGCTCTGGACTTGGTTGCCGAACGCCTCCGCCCTCACCGAACGGATGGCAGGTTCGGTTTGATAACCGCTCCCGATAGCACCAACGAAGAACTCTACCTGGCTCAAAAATTCGCGCGCCTTGGAATGAACACCAACAACGTCGATCATTCCGGAAACACGCAGCCCGCCCTTACCGGCGGACTGGAAGATGTCCTCGGCTATCCCGGCGCTACCAACTCCATCTGGAACCTCGAAAAAGCCGGCTGCATCCTGGTGTTCAACACGAACCTGACCGAAAGCCACAATGTGGTGGGCGTGCCGGTCAAGCGTGCCGCCCGCAACGGCACTCCTCTCATCGTCATCGACACGCGCGAAGTGGAGCTCACGCGTTACGCCGATCTGTGGCTTCGCCCGGTACCTGGTACCGAGTTGTTGCTTTTGGGGGCGATCCTCAAGCTGGTCCTCCAGGAAGGCCTGATCGACGTTGAATGGCTCGCTGAGCACGCGGAAAGCTACGACACCCTGGTCTACGAGCTGGAACGGCTGGACGACGACACCATTGCTGCCACGGGAGTTCCCCTCGAAGACATCGCCCGCGCTGCTAGGATGTACGGTGCAGCGGATACCGGAGCCATAGTTTACGGCCTCGATAATTTGCCCCGGGCAATCACCCGTGAATGTGTGGTCTCTTTGGCAAACCTGGCGCTGCTGACCCACAATGTGGATCGGCCCGGCGGCGGGATATTCCCCATGCGGCAGGGCGCGAATGGACAGGGCGCCATCGACGTGGGGTGCCTCCCGGATCGCCTCCCCGGCGGAGCGCCGATGTTCGACGACGCTCACCGCGTTCGCGTGGAAGGAGCCTGGGGAGCGCCGCTTCCGCCGTCGGCCGGCATGGGTGCGGCGGCCATGCTGGATGCCACGGGCGGCAGCATCACTTCGATGCTGGTCATAGGCGATAGCCCCAACTATTCCAACGGCTTGCTGGGCAGCGATTTGGCCGTATTCGAACGCCTGGAATTTCTGGCCGTAGTGGACACCTTCCTGTCACCCGTGGCCCAGGTAGCCGACGTAGTCTTGCCACGGGCTACCTTCGCGGAAAAGAACGGTACCTTCACCAATTTGGAACGCCGTGTGCAACGCGTCAGGCCAGCGATCACCGTCCGAAACAACGACGCGCTGCCCGAAGGATGGGTATTTGCCGAGTTGGCCCGTCGATTGGACGTCGATGGCTTGAACTACGACGATCCGGCACAGGTCATGGATGAGATAGCCTCGGTCGCGCCGAGCTACGGAGGCATCAGCTACCACCGGTTGGCGCAGGAAACCTCGTTGGTCATGCAGACTGGGGTAGAGTCCCCAAGGCCCACCCAGTTGCTGTATACGACCCGCGAAGAACGCGGCATCCAGTGGCCCTGCCCCACTCGTGAAAGTTCCTCAACCCCGGTACTGTACGCCAACGGCTTCCCCAATGGCCGCGCCGAGCCGGGCGCGCCCTTGTTCCGCGCTGTCCCGATGCACACCGAACCGGACCTCCCGGCAGTATTCGCCCCCGGCCGTGTCCTTCTACAGAGTGAGAGGGATATCGTGGTCGAATCCGGTCAGTTGAATCGCATCGTGCGCGACGAGCAGGTACATCTCAATCCGGGCGACGCCGCCGCCTGGGGAATACCCCATGACGCGCCGGTGGCGCTTGCGACCTCCCGCAACCGGATGACTGGCATCGCGTTCCTGGATCCGGCCGTCCCCCCGGGCGTCGTGTCGATCACCACGCTGTTCGGTCAACTGGCCGTCGAACTGCAGGCTTCGGAAGATATAAACCCCATGGCTCGCGTGCCCGGTTTGCATCTCGAGCCATGTCGGGTCGAATTGATGGCCTGACGTAACCGGCGGTACCGATATAACCCTCTACGATGAATGTAATAAAACGGTTGACCGTTCGCTGCTCCGGTAATCGATAGCCTTGCGCCGGGCTTGAACGTCGATCAATTCTACAAAATGGAGCCAGAATGACCACTTCCCCATCTACCATTGTAATTCGTGACCGCACCGCCAATTTGCCGCGCGCCCGCTTGGTGGAACGCACTGATTACACGGAAGACCTGATGGTCATAAAAGTCGAGCCCCAGGGTTTCGATTACCAATTCAAGCCCGGCCAATATTGCACCCTGGGCTTGGACGGCATCGAGCGAGCTTATTCCATAGTTTCCGCGCCTCACGAGTCGGTGTTGGAAATTTTCGTCGAACTGGTTCCCGACGGCGAACTCACGCCGAGGATGTGGCGCATGGGCATCGGCGACACCATGTCAATCCGTCCGCGACCCAAGGGCCTGTTTGTGATGGATCCTTCGGCCACACAGCATCTGATGTTGGGGACCGTCACCGGCATCGCTCCCTTCGTTAGCATCGTCCGCGATCACCTGCACTACGGTCGTGACGGGCACCACTTTTACGTGGTCGAAGGGGCTTCATATCTTGACGAGTTTGTCTACGACGCAGAGTTGTCTGATCTGGCCGCCGCTCATCCCGACGCTGTGACTTTTGTTCCCGCGATTAGCCGGCCTGCGGAAGACCGCAACGCCGGTTGGGAGGGGGTAGGCGGCCGCCTGAATAACATCGTAGCCAACCAGCTCGAAAAGTTCTGCATGGACCGTTCCCAGACGCTAGTCTACGCCTGCGGACATCCTGGGATGATCGAGTCCTGTCGAGAGATTGTGACTGGCGATGGATGGCGATGGATCGAAGAGCGGTTTTGGAAGGAGTAACTTCCGGCCACATTCCGAGTATCGCATCGGGGCGAGCCAAGGCTCGCCCCGATTTTGTGTTGCCCACATCATGTCTGCGGTTGACCTGATGCCACGTGCCACATCCAGAATCCATCCCGGTGCTACGCCGTTTCCGTCCGCTTCCGGGTGGCGCAACCACCTTGGCGATTTTGTCATGCGCCGTGCCAAGCGGTCGCTGGTCGCTTGTCACATCGCCCGAAACATGGCAATCTTCCGCTCAATCATCGTGAGCCTCTGGCCCGCGATCCGACGGCCCCCTCAGGAAGGATTCTCATGACTACCATAGCCGAGTACGTTTCCGATTACTCCGCTAATCTGCACTTTGGCGACATCCCGACCGACACGGTGCATCTGCTCAAACGGATGCTCATAGACACCGTAGGATGCGCCATCGGCGGATACACCGCAGAGCCGAGCAAAATCGCGCGCGACCTTGCCGGCGAAGTCACCGGGCATCGCCGGCCCGTTACCATCATCGGTAGCGGGCTGACCAGCAGTCCCGAACTGGCCACATTCGCCAACGGGGTCATGATTCGTTACCTGGATTTCAACGATGGTTACACCACGCAAGAATCGGGGCATCCCAGCGACAGCATTGCCGCCACCCTCGCCGGCGCCGAAATGGTCGGCGCTGGCGGCCGCCGACTGATCACCGCGACCGCCGTCGCATACGAGGCCTTCTGCCGTTTCGGTGACGCTTGTAACATCAGGTCGCTTGGTTTCGACCACGTCACCAATGGCGCTATCGCCAGCTCCGTTGGCGCCGCCCGTGCGATGGGTCTGTCCGCCGCGCAAACCGAGCAGGCACTGAACCTCGGGATCACGCCGAACCTGGCCCTGGGGCAGACTCGGGTGGGCGAGCTCTCCCACTGGAAGGGTTGCGCCTATGCCAACGCCAGCCGCAACGCGGTGTTCGCGGCTCTTCTGGCTGAACGTGGACTGACCGGTCCGGCCCCGGTGTTTGAGGGCGAGCTGGGTTTCTTCTCTGCGGTGACCAAAGAGCCCTACCAACTGCAACCTTTCGGCGGGGACCAGGGACAGCCTTTCAAGGTCCACGAGTGCAACATCAAGCAGTTTGCTCTAGGCCTGTACTCACAAACGGTGGTGGAAGCTGCCTTGGACGCCCGTCGTCAGGTGCCCGGCTTCAACGTCGGCGACGTCGAGGACGTTCACATCCGTACCCTGCAGAAAGCCATCGACATCATGGCCGGCGACGAGGAGAAGTATCACCCCAAGACCCGCGAGTCTGCCGACCACAGCATGCCCTACGCTACGGCAATCGCCCTGACCCACAATACCCTGAACCAGAGCCACTTTTCGGAGGAGCACATCAGCGACCCTGGCATTGCCACCCTGATCAGCCGCACGCGCATTGAGGCCTCCGAGGAGGCCAACCGGCGGGTGCCCGAAGCCATGCTCTGCAACTTCGACCTGCGGATGACGAACGGACAAACCTACAGCTCCGAGGTAGCGCACTTCCGCGGCCATCACCTCAATCCGATGACGGATGCCGAGGTTGAAGCGAAGTTCCGAAGCCTGTGCGAGAACCTGCTTTCTCCTGACCAAGCCGAAGAGTTGCTCGCTCGCTTGTGGCGCCTTGAAGACGAGACGGACATCGGCGATCTACTGCGCCTCACCCGAATCTAGGAGTCGGCAAAAAGAAGGGGCTGTGTTCGGACAGCCCCTGCTCAGGATGGGTTATGAGGAATCGCCTTACGCGCCTATCCTGACACCGTCCGGGTAGGTGTAACCGACGCGGTCGTTGTATGCTCCGGCGGCCGGGAAGACCTGCCGGTAAAGACCTCTGGCCCTTTGTTTCACAACCCCGTTCGCCGCCTCTTTGGTTGGCGTGGGTTTGGCGTTCTGGTCCTTGTAGAACTGTGACTGCAGCGGGCTGTCGTTTTCCAGCTCCCAGATGCACAGGTACCGCATCACACCGTTCGCCTGCCCGTCCTCCGGGTCTAGCATGAACCTCCGGGCACTCACGTAACCGGGGATGGACATCCGCTCCGGAAGGTGCTCCTCGTTGTACCATTTGTTGAACACTTCGTCGTCGGCCTCATCGACCTCCATCATGACGACGAGTACCGTCGTCCCGATCTCCTGGTTGGCCTTCAGCCCGTTGCTGCTCGTCATGTTACCTCCTGTCTCTCCGCGCCCTTGTCGACGCGGGCAATGGTCACGCGATGGCTTCTAGAGCCTGCGGTAAATCTGCACGCGATGCCGATAGCAGTCAGCGACGAACACCAATCCGTCTGCGCTCACCGCTACTGCTGTGGGCCGATAAAACCGCCGCTTCAGCTCAATGTTTTGCGTCGCCTTGTTGAGCTTGTCCTCAATATCCGGGTTGGCATCAAGGAACGTTCGGGCCCACTTGGAGGTTCCCGAATGGCCTATCAACGTGTCGATCACTCGCCCGGCAGCATCCAACACCTGCACTCGGTCGTTCCACCAGTCGCACACGTAGATACGCCCGTCACCGTCCACCGTCAGTCCGTTCGGCCGTGAGAACCCGTCTCCTCCGTCGCTCCCGTCGAACTCGACCAGGAACCGCCCGTCTCCGTCAAATTTCTGGACCCGGTCGTTCCGCCAGTCGGACACGTACACGTCCCCGTCGCAGTCCACTGCAACACCCCAGGGCATGTTGAACCGACCCGGCCCATCTCCGTATTCTCCCCAAGCCGCCAATGGACTGCCGTCAATCGTGAACCGCTGGATACGATGGTTCAGCGAATCTGCGACCAATACGGTTCCGTCTGAAGCGAAAGCCATGCCGGACGGTCGGTTCAACTGCCCGATGCCGCTGCCAAATTCACCCCAGCAACCCAGGAACTCGCCGGTCGCCGTGAATTTCGAGATCCGATGGGTATTTTCGTCAGACAGGTACAGGGTTCCGTCGGGTCCGAATGCGATCTCCGTCACCCAGATGAACTGCCCAGGAGCTTCTCCCCAGCCGCGGAAACTCACCGACGTAATCGCCGTCAATACGGCACCGGGTTACTCGCACCGCTTCCGGTTGGTTTGGGTTTGCCCGGCTGGCTACGTGCAACAGCCCGTCCGGACCCAGCGCCACTGAAACCGGCCCGCTGAACCCCGGCCCGCCCGAGGACAGAAGGCCGATCACGTCGTGGTACTGGTAGAGCCCGGCGACGGACATGGGATGTTCGATGACTGTGGTCATGCTTGTTCCTAACCCAACTCTATGGTCACTGCCGGTAGCCCGCATTCCAACTTGCCAATGGTCTCAAGGCACCGGTCATTCGCCGGGGGCATCACCGGGCCCGATAGCGCATCCCGACGCAACCGCTCCAAGGGCGACGACTTGAGCAACCCCCCGCCGCCGGCCAAACGCATGGCCCCGTCAGTTACCGAAGCGCCTACTTCGGCGCAATATTGCTTGGCTCGGTTCACCGCAAGCACCGCGCCCACCGGGTCCGTATCGCGATCCGTCAACGCGGCGTCGACCAGCAAGAGCCGACCCGATTGGATGGCAACGCTCATCTGCCCAATTGCTTGCTGGGTAGATGGGTGGCCGATCATCGCGTCTCCTCCCGGTGTCCACGCTCGGCCGGTGGCGTACTCCCGGATGTGGTTGTACGCCGCTTCAGCTATCCCCAGGTAAACCGCGGCGTATCCCAAAGAGAAGCTTCCCCAGTCCGCGCTGAGCAATCGACCGGGCGGCCCAAACACTGCGTCATGCGGCGCGACGGTATCAAAGCTGACCGCATGGCTGGCCGTGGCCCTCATGCCAACGGCATCCCATTCGCCGGTCACGCGGACGCCGCTCATGTCGCTGCGGATCATCGCCGAAAGGATGTTTTCTGCGCCGCCGCCGCTCCCTTGCGTCACGCCGGAAACGAAGAAATAGTCGGCCGCGTCTGCCAAAGAGCAGAAATGCTTGGTCCCGGAAACCCGGTAGCCGCCGCCCTCCTGCGGTGCGAAGTTCGTCGACAACACGAATCTCTCTCTCGCGGACACTCCCGGCTCGCTGGTCAGGGATGCAAACAGCTTTCCAGCCTCCACCGCCTCGGCGAAGTACCGCCGCCGCTGCTCGAGGTTGCCCAATCCCGCTACGAATGACCCAGCACGTTGGTGTGCATGGTCAGGGTCAACGCGGTCGACGGGCAACCGCGCGCCACCGACAGGATGCACATCGCGAACGTCAGCGGATCAACACCCCTTCCTCCGTACGCGGCGGGCACTCGCAGCGTCAGCAAGCCGGCTTCTCTCAGGTCAACAAAGTTCTCGATGGGGAACTCTGCCGCGGCATCGTAATGTGCGGCGCGCCCTGCAAAGCCTTCGCGGGCCAATTCATCAGCCGCGGCGACCAAAGCCAACTGGTTATCGGACATGTAGCGCGAAGCGGCGCCGGGTACTGGTTCTAATCTGATACTCATGGGAACCTATTCTATGTCCAACGAGTTTGCGCGTCCGCTGCCGCATGGTTTGTGGGCATCCTGCGCCGGGCCGCCTGGTTGCGCCTCAACCACACCGACTACGCGAACTGGTACTCTCGCGTTGATCCGATCATTCGCAGGGCATTCAAGATCGCGTCCTCCGTGGTGGCTCCCGTGTCCAGCAATTCTGCGGCTTGTGCTACCAACGCGTTCCAGTTGTCTTCCCGCAGCGCGACGCTACCCAGCAGTTCGAGGCACCCATTGACGATTTCAGCTGCGTTTGGGTGCGTGGAATCGACGGTTGCTACGATGGTTCGCACCCCAGGATGGGCAATGTCGCCCAGATTATCGGCTACGAAATTGATGCGCTCCACCATGCTGCCGCTGTCGATCCACTCCTTACCCGTGTGCCAGCCCTCCACCGATGGCGGATTAAGCAGGTCCTGGTTCATGTACCTGCACTCCAACGCCGTACCCAAAAAACCTGCCTTCGGAAACTTGAAATCTCCCACGAGGTGCAGGGTGCCAACCACAACCTCAGCGGGACTTTTCACTCTGGCAAACCGTGCGCTCTCCGACTTGAAGAAATCCGACGTGAACATCGCGCGCAGCATTGATCGTATGTCGTAGCCCGAACGGAAATACTCAGATTCCAGGAGAGCAATGGCTTCAGGGTTCTCCGGCGGCGTGTTTTGCCAGGCTGGCACCTGCACGTCGTCCGCAACGAAGAAATTGTAGAGATGGCGACTGATGAACCTTGCGGTAGAGGGTTGTCGGCAAATGATTTCGATGATGTCGTCGCCGTCGAAGTCGCCCGTTTCACCTTGGAAAGTCTTCGTCCCCCGGTCGTGGTCTTCCGGATCGTATCGGAACAACCAAGGCGTCTTGCCATACGGGATGCTCGCCACGTTATCGTCGTCAATCGTCCATCCCGTAAAGGCTCGGGCGGCCTCCTGAACATCGTCTTCCGTGTAATTCGGCTGTCCATCCATACCCACGCCCATGGAGAACAATTCCAGCAACTCCCGGCCCCAGTTTTCGTTGATGGCGTTCGTGTGGTTGAAATTGTTGTCCAACCAGAAAATCATCGCCGGGTCGCGGGCCAACCGGCGCAACAGCTCCTGGAAATCACCCAAACCGTGCTGTCTAAACAAGTCAATCTGGTTGAGCATCGTCTTTTCGTGCAGCACTTTCGCCAACCCGGTGGCGAACACGCCGTGCCAGAACAGGGCAATTTTCTCCTGCAGGGGCCTCGCGCCGGCGTTGCAGTTCATGCGGTAAACCGTTTCGGTCAGAGCGCCCTCAATATTGCGGCTTTCCTTCCAATCGATGTAGTACCGCTCAAGGATGTCCTCATCAAGCGCTGGCTGGGCCTCTGGATACAACAACCACTCAACGGTCGCCTCATAACCCCGTGCGCAGTGGGCATCGAGTTCCGTTGGAGTCGCGCCAAAACCAGCCCGGCGCAGTAGGTGGGCCATCAAAGCTCGTTGGGGATCGACGGACATATCTTCACCTGGAAAGTTGCGCACCGAGCGAACGGTCTCGCCTTCCGCCTCGCTCCGCGGACAGTGGGAATATTGCCCCGGATTCGGGGGTCGCTGGTCATCATATCATAGCGATTGACAACAACGACCGAAGGTTTTTCCGACCACACCCGGTGAGTACGGCTGCCCCGAATTGGTCATGTTGACAACCCTTCGACCGGGGAGCACCATGTTTCGGCCTGAGCTTCAGGCCGGTAACTCCCAGAGGATTTTGCCTGGCCAGCGTTTCTATCCATACAAAGCGAGTGCCCTACCATACCGTTGTTGAGACTGCCCCGTCTGCATACCCTGGACGCTTGGCTGGCCTACCGTGACTTCCGGCTGTTGTGGTTGGCCAATTTTGTGGGTTCACCGGCCAATGGCTGCAACTGCTGAGCATCGGGTGGCTGGTGAAGGATCTTTCAGCCGGCACGGGGGTCGGCGGTCTGTTGGTGCTGTCCGTCAGTGCGATTAACACGCTGCCCGGGCTCGTGGTAAATCCCATCACCGGAGTGCTGGGTGACCGCCTGGACCGTCGTAAGCTGGCGATCTCGATGCAATCCGTCAGTGCGGCGCTGGCCCTTGGGTTTGCTGTCCTGATCGCCTTCGATTACGTGCGTCCCTGGCACGCCTACGCATATGTTCTGATCTCCGGCGCGTGCCTGGCAATCACGCAGCCGATGCAACAAGTGTTGATTTCCAATACCGTGCCTCGGGAAGCGCTGGTCAACGCCTACGCCATCAACACGCTCACCGTCACCGGGACGCGGGTGTTCGGCCCCTTCGTCGGTGGCATCCTGATATTCACCCTGGGGTATTTCTGGAACTTCGCCCTGGAAGCGGCCTTGTACCTGGGCGTGGTGCTGATGTTGCTGCCGATGCGGACTCCGTACACGGCATCCGAGCCCCCGGAAGCGCGCCGTCGATTCACCCCGCTGGCCGACATCCAGGACGGTTTGCGGCACCTGTGGCGGAACCAGCGTGAAGTCCTTGAGATAGCGGTGCTGTCGGTCATTCCCAACACCATTTTGCACCCGGTGTGGTTCCTGCTGCCTCTGTTCACCGTCGAAGTGTTGCAGGCCCAGGTCAACACGGGCGGCTACCTGCTGGCGATCACCGGCGTGGGCGGTTTGATCTCCACGCTTACCATCGCCACCTGGGGTCTCCCGTTTCGGCGCGGTTATATCCTGTTTGGAGCAGCGGCGCTGTCGTCTATTGCGACCATGCTGTTTGCCTACTCATCATGGCCTTGGGCGGCTTTCACCGTTCTGGCTGCCATGTCTTTCTTCCAGGCTTATTTCCGCACTACCCAGGGAACGCTGGTCCTGACCATCGTTCCTGACCGGTTCCGCGCCCGCACCATGGCTCTATTGGCCTACGAACGCTCCTTCCTGGTCGGGGTAAGCGTGCTGGTGGGCATTTTCGCTGACTTCACGTCGGCGTCGATGGCGATATTGGCGATTGGATCCATGGGATTGGCGCTGACGCTGGGGTGTTTCGCTACGCTGCGGCGAGTACGAGCCCTGCGGTAGAGGACGCATCTTGCGAGTTTCACGGTTGCCCCGGCTGCACACGCTCGACGCCTGGTTGGCATATCGGGACTTTCGCTATTTGTGGTTCGGCAATTTCTTTGCCAACAACGCCCAATGGCTGCAGCTGCTGAGCGTGGGCTGGCTGGTGCGGGAGCTGTCCGAAGGGTCGAACATCGCCGGTCTGCTGGTCGTGACTGTGGGCGGTATCAACACGCTGCCCGGATTGGTGGTCGGACCCTGGGGCGGAGTGCTGAGCGACAGGTTCGACCGGCGCAAGTTGGTGATCGTTCTACAGACGATTATGGCGATCCTCGCCTTTTCCTTTGCCTTGCTGATCTTGTTTGGCCGGGTGCAGGTATGGCACGCCTATGCGTATGTGATCCTGGCCGGATGCTGCCACTCCACGGTGCAGCCGATGCGCCAGGCATTGATCGCAGGCACCGTGCCCCGGAACATGCTGGGCAACGCGCTGGCCACAAACGTATTGACCATCACCGGAACGCGCATCATCGGACCGTTTGTCGGGGGCATCCTGATATTCACGCTGGGGTTCTTCTGGAACTTTACCATCGAGGCCTGCCTGTACCTCCTAAATATCGCGATGATCTTCCGCGTCCGCACTCCCTTTCACCGACCCGGGGATGCCCGACAGCGTGGCTCGGCGCTGTCCAATATGGTCGAAGGATTGCGCTACGTCTGGAGCGGGGAGCGGGCCTTCTTCCAACTGATGATATTGTCGATCATCCCCAACATCATCCTGCACCCGGCCTGGTTCCTGTTTCCCGTGTTCACCACTGAGGTGCTGAAGCGGGACGCCGACGTGGGTGGCTACCTGCTGGCGGTCACCGGCGTCGGTGGCCTTCTGGCCGCGCTGATAATGGCGACATTCGGGTTCATTTTCCCCAAGGGAAAGGTTGTGCTGGGAGCGGCGGTCGCCAGCTCGGTTACGCTGCTATTTTTCGCGTTTGCGAAATGGATGGCCCTGGCATTCCTGTTCATCGCTGCGATGGCGTTCAGCCAGGCGGTTTTCCGAACCGCTCGGGGCACGTTGATCCAGACCCTGGCCCCCGACAGCCTCCGGGGGCGGATGACCAGCTTGCAGAGCTTCGATCGCGGCTTCCTGGTCTTGGCCAGCCTGGGCGTGGGCATACTCTCAGACGTGACGTCGCCGTCGACGGCCATGGCAATCATCGCCGTTATGGGTTTGGGCGCATCTGGGGTTTGCTGGGCTGTCCTGGTCCGCGTGCGCCGTCTGGCTTAGCATCCGTTCGCTTCACGGGTTTGCAACGTCAGTTTTACAAAGGGAGTATGATAGTTAGCCATTTCTTAAACAGGCCAGGCGCCAGGCGGGCACGAATTTGATCCAGCGCATCGCGTCCAGTCGATCCTACAAGTGGTGGGCCTTCTGGACCATAGCCACCGGCACATTCTTCTCGGTGGTGGACCACGGCAGCGTGCTCGTAGCGCTGCCCGGCATCGAGTCCCATTTCGACGCTTCGTTGGAGTCGGTGCAATGGGTGGTCATCGCTTACGCCCTGGTCATCAGCGTCCTGCTCCTGCCCATGGGACGATTAGGCGACGTCATCGGACGCCGGAGGGTGTACCTGACGGGCACGGCTATTTTCGTCCTTGCCTCGTTGGGAGCGGCGTTCTCGACCAGCCTGGAAATGCTGATCACCATGCGCGTGCTGAAAGGCGTTGGCGCCGGAATGGTGCAGGGCTGCGGCATGGGCATGATGATCGCAGCGTTCCCCGATTCCGAGCGCGGAAAAGCCTTGGGGACGCACCTCAGCGTCGTCGGGTTAGGCGCCATCGCCGGCCCGGCCATGGGCGGATTCCTGGTTGCCTTCCTCGGGTGGCAGTCGGTATTTTTGGTCAACGTGCCGGCCGGAATCCTGGTGCTGGTTCTGGCTTGGATCTTCCTGGAACGAGGCCCGGAGGG